AGAATGGAAAATAGCATGCCCGTAGAGGCTATACAGTGAGTGTTTGGTCGTAGAAAACAGGTAAGGATGCTTACCATCAAAGGATACCGACAAGATATGCAGTACCCGGTCTCCCGGCTGCACATCCATGTTGAATGGACTGGTCTGGGCATAATTGGCCACCGCACGATGTGGAATCATGACTCCCTTGGGCACACCTGTGCTCCCACTGGTAAAGATCAGACAGGCGAGGTCCTCTGGAGCGATGTCGGGAATGACCTTTGTGGTGCTGCGGTCCGTCGATAGAGCGGTCACATCGGCGCTGGTCAGATGGATGACTTTGTGCCGCGGGCTTTCGAACGGTTCGACGGTTGTGTTGATCAGAATACGGCTGTCTGTCCCGTCTAGCACTGCCTGGATCCGCTCTGATGACCACGAGCTGCGGTCCAGAGGGACATAACAGGCGTGGGCTTTGAGGACGGCAAGCAGCGCGACAATATTCCGGGTGCCGTGCTCAGTAAGTAAGAGGACAGCTTCGCCCGGTACTACTCCTTCTTGCTCTAGCTTTCGTGCCAAGTTCGATGAGGCCACATCGAGTTCGGTATAGGTGAGCGAGCCGCTCTCATGGTCGACTGCCAGCTGGTGGGGCGTCCGAGCGACGGACCGGGCAAAAAGCTGGCAGAGGTTGAGGGCTAGTACTGATGGCATGATGAAGAGCGTAGGGTTGAGCCAGACAATAATACAGTACAAATTCAAAAAGGAGCAGACATGCCCGACTCTTTTCTGTTGAGAGAACTTTGTTGGAGGTTGACCTCGAGGCAAGTCGATGCTTCATATGGCTATCTCTCGGGGATGGTCGGGGATGGATAACCGTCCTTTCATGCAGTCCAGTGGGGGGTATTTCTTTGGAGTCCACGTACAGTTCCTATTGGCATCCACTATTGCCGCTCCTGGTAAAGGCACTATCCCGATTTCCGGGTTGGTTTGGCTTCCGAAAAGTCGGCCTCCGAGCAGGGCTTCAGCGGTAGGCCTTGCAGCGGCGGTCGCTGCTGTTAAGGTATCGACAAGCCCCTATTCACTGCTGTTTCGACCATACTGTTGGCACTTTCTAACTCCCTCGCCATGGCTTACGCACTGACTATACTCGTCCCATGTTTGGTGCTGGCCCTCGTTGCGGCCCGGCCTGTTCTCTACTGGGTTCTCTCTGTCGTCGTAGATGTACGGCTTTCTGATGCTCATTCTGAAGATTACTGACTTATGCCACATAGGCCTTTCTACGATGGAAATACCCTCTGCCCCATCACGCAGGGTCCAAACCCATGCCTCGTGCCCGTTATACATGGCCCAACGGTCAAGGCACGGAAAAGTTCTTCAATGGACGTTCCGCTGCCAAGCAATGGCGACAGCAATGGGGTCCGATATATCAGATTTGGTCCGGCTGGTCCCCTGAGATGTCAGTTTGAGCTTTCCTCTCTGCACCGTCCCAGCTGCTAACGCTGACGATGATAGTGTGCTGACCACTCCTACCCACGCCGTCCAGTTCTTCCGCAACTCGCATCGTCACACCAAAGCAGTGAACAATGATTCGGGCTGGCTGTTTGGTGAGGTCCTTGGCGTCTGTGTCGGCTTGCTCAGTGGCTCCGACTGGAAACGAGTCCGGCAGCAGGTCGAAGACGGCTTTTCACGTCCGACTGCTGCTCGATATACGGCTGACCTGGTCACTCTGGCCCGCGAATATCTCCAAAGCACCCTGCTAACCTCATCTGAGCAAAGCGTTGAAAAAAAAGGAATCATCCACGTCGAGCCAGCCAAGACTCTACAGTTCTATCCCTTTTTGTCGGTTGCTCAGATCTTGTTCGGACGCCTGAGCCCGATGCAACGTACCCAGCTGACCACGCTCGCTCCGTTGAGAGAAGAATTGTTCAAGGAGGTCATTCGTGGGGGGATCAATCGCCTATCCATTGCACCTTGGTTTGGGTCGCGGGGAGTGCGTCTCTTGAATGAATTTCAAACGCAGTGGGAACGGTTTGTCGAAGACGCCTACCACACGGCCGTCAAGCGCAACCAATCCCCTAGGCCGCTGGTCATCGGTCTTTGGGAGGCTTATCAGGCGGGGACCATCAGTAAACGTGAAGTAAGTGCTCGTCTCGGCGGATCATTTGGATGTTCTGACTCGTATAGTGCCTGCAAACCCTCGACGAATCGCTCTACGCTAATCTGGACGTCACCACACATGCCCTGTCGTGGAATGTCTTGTTACTGGCAGAAAATGGCGAGGCACAGACGGAACTGCGACAGGAAGTACTCTCTGCGCTGCAAAGCGAGGCAAGTGAGTCGTACGAACGGTACATTGACCGGGATGACACGTTCCTGGCTGCCTGCGTCCTGGAATCCGCACGACTGCGCCCAATACTGCGTGAGCATACACACGTCCATGGGAATGAAACGTTCACTAACGTACCTTGGCAGCATTTTCTAATCCTGAATCGGCGCCCGAGGACCTATACGTGGATGGCTATCTCATCCCAGCCAATGTATGTAACTATCCCTCTCTGATGTCCAGAGCATTTTGCTGATATCACCCAGACCAATGTTATTGTGGACGCTCAAGCGATCAACATCGACAACCCTTTCTGGGTCAACGGAACGCAATACAATCCTCGACGGTTCTTCAGTCTCAACAAGTCTGATGTATGTTCTCCCTAAGCAGCATTCTAATTTCCAACCTGACTGACTTTGTAGGTCCGCCATAACATGTGGCGCTTCGGGTTTGGACCCCGCCAATGCCTCGGCAAGCATATTGGCGAGCGGATGCTGAAGGCGATTGTCGCTGAGATTATTCGACAGTATGTCGTCTCTATCTCGGCAGACAGTGCTTTGGAGAAGAATGTTCTGCAGGAGGATAGCTGGGTGGGATTGCCAGCAACGCGGATTCAGTGTGTGCCGGTAGGACGTGAGGTCGAGAAGAATTAAGTAGTCAAATGTAACATATTTTTGCCCTGTCACTTGTGATTGTGACCTGATTGCGCGAGTACTCCCCCGAACTTGTCTGACTGACAGTTGCGCGATATCGATTTCATGTATGTCTTCCTGGAAGCACGGTAGGATCGAGTCGATTCAAGTCAATCAGCGTCAGATGTCAGAATCAGCACGAATCACCTTGTAAACCCTTTGCCTTGATAGGATCAATGCTATAATCACATACATGCAATCAGTCCAGTTCGAGTCAAGTCAAGTAGTTCACTGCAGAAGAAGTCTATGTACACATTCATTTCACATAGGCCGAAAGTCGATGATACAAGGCCAGGCGCGACGCACCCGATGCACCTGGCTAATCTTCCAACCGGCCAACTCTCCCAGCCGCTTCCAGTCCTCAAGGGACCGCTCCTTGCCGTTGCAGGTAATCATCATGATCAGATCGCCGTACCGAGGCAAACGGCCCGATCGACCAGGCGACTTGATCGACTCGACGACCAGGAAGCGACTGACAGGCGACGGCACAATACTCCGGCGCACATTCTTCAGGATAGTCAGCACATCGTCGTCGACCCAGTCATGCAGACACCATTTCATGGTATACACCGCGGATGGTGGGATCTGCTTGGTGAAATCGCCGACAACAAGCTGCTGCACGCGCGACCCGATATCGCTGAATCGACCATGCAGCTCGCGGAACTCAGGCGTGATTAGCTCAATGACAGACTTGATATCCATGAGACTTCCCTGGAGGTTCGGGTGCGCTCGCAGCAGCGACGCCAGGAACGCGCCGGACCCGCCGCCGATGTCCAGGATGGGCTCGGAGCCGATCTCCTCCCAGGGATAATCGACGGTCAGGCCGCGGGCTTGCGCGACGGCGCCGGCGCCCAGGGTCTTCTGGAACTTGGCCAGCTTCTGCTCTTTGGCGAGGTACTCGAAGAGGTCCAGGTCGGTGCCGTAGGCGATCTGGGCGGCGGTGCGGCTCTCGCCTAGTTTAACGGCCTGGGGCATGGCGCGGCTGACGTCGAAGAACTCATTGGGGTACAGATCGGCCCAGAGGTGCCACTGGGTCCAGTGGTCGTGGCAGAGGAGGAGGGACGCACGGTTGTTGCTGTAGGTGTCGTCGGCGGCATTGTAGGCGAAGATGCCATTGTTGACGAGTGTGTCCAGCAGCTGGGCGAGCCGCTCGGGCTGAATGCCACAGCGCAGACCGAGGGTTGATACAGGCTGGGGACCATTTTCGGCCAGTCGGTCTGCCACTTGCGCTTCGACGACGGTCCAGAGCGTCTTACTGTTGAGATATCCTAGCGAAACATTGTCAGTACGGAAACTCAATGTGCTTGGAGGACTCTCCGCTTACCGAAGAAGCCATCAGTTAACAAGGAGACGGACGGAACGAGCTGCAGTTGAAGCTTGTCCATACTGTCTACCAGATCTAATGCGAGCTGCTCCAGCTCCTTGTCGGGGAGCTGGTCCGGATGATGCAGCTGCTCATTCAGCCAGGACTGAACCTCGGGGGCCTCGATGGCGGATTGGACACGCTTCACATGTGCCTGTAACTCGCGCAGCTCGTTGACGATAGCTTTGCACTCCTTGCGCGGCGTGGCAGTGCCGTTCAGAGTGTCGTTCTCTAGCAGACCGGGCGCCATCTTTATCTCTTTGTTTGTAAATCTGTGCTTGATGTCTGGGATTGCATACTTGTTGATGCCAGCGCTCGGATACATATACTCGACGCTGTCGGAGACATATGGAGACATATCTCCTTTTCGGTCGCCGAGCTGTATTACTGCACGTATTCGGTGACCAACTGGCATATATCGATCGAATAAGTAAATTATTGATCTACTTAACCTAGAATCTTCCATAGGCGCGGAATACAAGGATACAGCAGTCGACGTAGGACCGTAGGGCTGGTCAACCCAGGGCCAAGACATCAGGCTAGGAAGTAAGCAAGCTAGAATCAACATACGATTAAAGGAATAGATTCAGTGGTATAACGGTATTGCATAAAGCTGTATTATTATAGACAGTAGGAAGACTAAGAATCACGCCTCTAACATTCCATACTCCTTCTCGCCGTGTCCAAAACCGGCGACGCGCTGCCATGCCCGTTTGACGGCCTCACGTTCACTCATGCGAACCGACCACTCCTGCAGCTTTGGCCATCTCTCAAACTCCAGACCAAACAGTTCCGCCGTGGATTTCATGGCAAAGGGCAAGGTGGCGATATCCGCAATGGTCGGTCGGTCCTTCAGAGCCAGGTACTGCTGGCCGGGTTCATTGAGCCGACGTTCCAGAATATCATATTGCACCGTAATGTTGCTGCGCAGTCTGCGAACCATATTAGACAAATTATTCACAGGCAAATGAGAGAGACAGTAATCACTTTTCAATAGTTTTGGGCAACTTCTCCGGATGCAGCTTATAAAAATACAGCCAGTACTTGGCCGTTGGCCCCAGAGCCGCCGTATGCAGAGTCAACCAGTTGTTGATTTCAGACCTCTCCTGCACGTTGCGTCCGCCGAAGGTCCCGTCTTTGTCGTATGCATCGGCAATGTACATCAGGGTGGAGGTCGATTCCCAGGCGCGGAGGGTGTCCTGGCCGTCGGGGGAGCGGTCCAAGATGGCGGGCACCATCTTGTGAGGATTGATCTCGCTGAACCAGGGGGCAGACACCTTTTCGACGACGTAGATATCATGAGGAAGTCCGAGCTCTTCGAGTAGGATCAACGGTTTGACGGTGTTGTGCGTGGACGTGGCGGTGCCTGTCGTCACTTCATGAGTGGAGGGTTTGCCGATGAGTTCGACTCGACTCACCTTTGACCACGAAAAGCACCAGCCTGTTTACTACAAGATCGGAGGGTCGTTCGGACATTTCGACGAGTGTAGAACGTTCAGAGAACTGAGAATAGTGTGTGAAAGTTTAGCAAGGGTAGGGGCAAACGATATCTGTGGTCCCCTGGCCCTCCTATATCTATAGCCAACAGCCTCTTGTAGCCACCCACCCATGCGCCATCCGAATTTTCGGAGGCCGTCGGTACGTTGGGAAGTAGCTAAAGTGAATAGAGAGATAATTCCCTGGTCGCCCCGTTTACAGAACGCAAAGAGCAAACAACATGAAGAAAGCAACGTTGCAAGACCCTCACGGGGGAATCTGGTACTTTGCCTACGGCTCCAACTTACGCCTATCTGTACTGGAAAATCGAGGCATCAAAGCACTGGATATTAAGGCTGTTATTGTCCCCTCCCACTACCTGACTTTTGACATCTTTGGCATCCCGTACGCTGAGCCTTCGTTTGCCAGCGTCGCCCCTTTCGCCCCAGACAAGAACACCACCCTACGACTCGGCGATTCACCCGCTCGTCGCGACGTTCCTCCAGTCCAGGGACTCGCCTATCTTTTGAACCCCAGGGATTACCGGCAGCTGGTCATCAGCGAAGGCGGCGGAGTGGCTTACGATGAGGTCGAGGTCCATGCCTCGATCCTCGACGAGGACGGCAAACCCGACCCAGGCAGTATCTTGATTGCTCGGACCTTGCAAGCCAAGTATCCCTGGCGACCTAACGGTGCACCCAGTGCGCGCTACCTGGTGAGCTTGTCCTGGAAGAGAATTATAGTATGATATACTTATTTAAAGCAGGGTCTCATCTCGACGGGATGCAAACAGAATAAGCCGCTCACGGCATACAGCGCCTATATTGATTCCTTACCGTCGTATGAGCCGCCGACATCCTTCCATGCGAAGGTGGGAGGTCTTCTTTTCCTGATGTTTTGGCGTCCGCCTCTTCGTCTGTTGATTCGACTCATCAGGGTGAACACGGACAAAGACGGACATTGTCCGCAGTGGCTCGGTTGGATTATTTTGACTCTGTATGGGCTGATGTGGTCATATCACGATACTATCCACTCGAAAATCTGGGGGCGAGGCGATGGCCGGAAACTATATTTTGAAGAGGCTACAGGGGAGAAAGTGCTAAATGGTTAGGCAATAAGGTAGAAACGGTAGTAAATGTATGTATCTATTTGATTGCAGTTCGGAGAGAAATGATGCTGTGATATTGGTCTATTCTATGCGTGCATGGAAGCATGAAGAACGAGTGAGTACCGTGTAGAACTCAACAGATGCATGTACACTTTGTCAGTGTCCACATGTACTTGTATTATAATGAAACAGGAGACAGTGTCTAAATTAGATGCTGATTGGCTTACGGACCGTCCCTTGCCCTAAATGAGGACGTGAGGTTGTTCGGAGACTTAACGGAGACTTTGCCGCCACGCCGAATCACAGCTGATGATGCTGCAGACAGTCAGATGAGCAGATTTCTTTCAGTTCAGCAGGGATCGGCATTAGCCAGCCAGGTCGGAATTGTAAATAAAAACTGCTGACAAGTAGCGAGTCTAGAAGGGCTTCTTAGCTAAGATGCCAACACTAGATGCATGAAAGTCTCCATGTCTCCGATGTCTGAATAGATATAGATGCGTCTCTTGCTGTCTTCCACTGCTCACTCATGTTTACAATCATCTTCAAGTCAATTAAACATCCTTACTGACATCAATCATCATGTCTAATCCTTCTATCGAAGAGTCCAAGCGAGAGCTGAATAGCTCCCCCAACGATTCCATCATGGGCAACGAACAAGCCCCAGAGGAGATGCAGTATCCTTCTGGCTTCGCCCTCAGTATCATCATGGCCGGTCTGTTGGCTGCCATCTTCCTCATCTCGCTCGACACCACCATTGTGTCCACCGCGATTCCCAGAATCACCGACGAGTTCCACACGGTAGCGGATATCGGGTGGTATGGGTCCGCCTTCTTTCTGACGCTCGCCTCCTTCCAAGGCACCTGGGGCAAGATCTACCGCTACTTTCCCCTCAAGCTGAGCTTTATCGCCGCCGTCCTGCTCTTCGAAGTCGGATCACTGATCTGCGCCGTCGCCAAAAACTCCGTGACCCTTATCGTCGGCCGAGCCATTGCTGGCATCGGTGCTGCAGGCATCTCCTCGGGCTCCTACACCATCCTCGCCTTTTCCGTCCATCCAAGGCGCCGTGCAGCCATGACGGGCGCCATCGGGGCCAGCTTTGCCGTGGCTGCGGTTGCTGGCCCGCTCATCGGCGGTGCCTTTACATCCCACACAACCTGGAGATGGTGTTTCTGGATCAATCTGCCCATTGGTGGCGTTTCCGCCGCCCTGATCGCCATCTTCTTCAAGGCGCCGCCCCAGGCCCGCGCAAAGAACGTCCCATTCAAGGAGATCCTGTTGCAGATGGACCCATCCGGTATCGTCCTACTGCTCGGCGCCATTCTCTGCTTCCTGCTGGCCTTGCAATGGGGTGGCTCAGCCAAAGCCTGGGGAAACGCCGATGTCGTGGGGACGCTTGTCGGGTTTGGCCTGCTTCTTATCGCGTTTACTATCAACGAACTCTGGCTGCAGGAGAAGGCCATGATCCCGCCGCGCCTGTTCAAGGGGCAGACCATTCTCTTCTCCTCTCTCTTCACCTTTTTCTTCTCGGGATCGTTCTACCTGCTTCTGTACTACCTGCCGACCTACTTCCAGTCTGTCAAGGGCGCGTCCGCCTCGGACTCCGGTGTGCGCACCCTGCCACTCGTCCTAGGCGACGGTCTCTTTGCCACCCTCTCGGGCGCCATCCTCGGCATGATCGGCTACTACATGCCACTGCTGACCCTCGGCGGTGTCCTCACCACCGTCGCCAGCGGCCTGCTCTACACCCTAGACCTTCATTCCGGCGCCAACGCCTGGATCGGGTACCAGGCCATGGCCGGCATCGGAATTGGCCTCGCCATCCAGGTCCCCATGATGGCCAGCCAGGCGGTCGTCGGCGTCGAGGATCTCTCCACCGTTTCAGCCATCATCCTCTTCTTCCAATGCATGGGCGGGGCTATCTTCGTGCAGGCTGGTCAGGCTGCTTTCACCAACAAGCTGGTCCAGGAGGTGCAGCGCCACTTGCCGAACATCAGTGCTGCGCGGGTCACGTCGACGGGTGCGACTGAGCTGCAATCCGAGTTTCACGGCCAGGAGCTCCAGGTTATTCTCGAGGCGTATGTGGCCGGTCTGAAGGACGCTTTTATTGTGGCGATTGTGTTGGCGGGTATTGCTACCTTGTTGTCTTTTGGTTCGGGGTGGAGGAGTGTGAAGAGCAAGAAGGAGGAGCCTAAGGCGCAGGCTTGAATATCTTAGGGAAACATGTCTGCTTTCTCGAGGATGAAGGATGGTAAATAGCGTTTGTATCCAGTTGATGTTCTTTTCTTTTGTATCACTTTTGAGGCTTTCGTACGGCAATGGAGAGTATTGGTGTGTCCACGCTATGTTGAATATGTCCCTGCGGCTATAATCCCTATTAGCTAGAGATAGTTGTCTAGACACATCCTTTCCGAGTTGTTTGATATTGGCCAGTATTTATTTGACGTGACTGTCACTTCAAGCCTATGGATCCATCCCAACAAGTGCTGCATGTACATCTAATAAGGGAGGTGGGCCAAATTGCAAATGAATACCAAACTACTGGCGAAGAAGCCCTTAAGGAACATAAACTGTTACAAGCGTAGAACAATGTCTAGATTTTCATAGTACTGTTGACTACCTAATAACCAGTCCACATCCTGAGAGTAGTCGTCTATGGCCGACGACCCCAAACCGTGTTAAACCGAAGAATTCCCCCAACCGTCTCAAACTCAACCTTGATATCCCTGAGAATCGGATCAAAGTCCTCAGCACGAATGCCCGTGCCATCGGGAAGACCTGCCCACGTCAGTAAGCCCACCCCTAAACCCCTACTATACCCAGTGCAAAAGCAAAACAAAACTTACGCGTCGCAGCCGTCCTGAAATTCGACACCACCTCGAGCATATTCTGCTTCGCCATCTCCCCCAGCTTGGGGTCAGAATTCCCCGCCCCGATCGGAATCTCCATGACCTTCTCCTGCACTTCTTCCAGTCCATACTCCTCCAACCACTGGCGCACCAGCTTCCCCGGCCGCGGATTCCATCGGAAATGAGGCAACATCTCAGCAACCAGAGACTGGAAGCGGGCGAGAACAGGGTACTGCTTGCGCTGCTCGGGGGTCAAGTGCTCCAGGCTGCCTTCTGTGAATTGCACCCAGCCGGTTCCTGGCTTGGCGAGGTCGACGAGTCTGTACAGAGCCTGCCGGCCTTCGTCTGGGGGGAGGCATGCAATCACCAGTTTCTGGTGGACGAGGTCGAACGAGTTGTGCCATTCGGTTGGCCAGGGTTCCGAGATGGATTGGATGTGGAACTCGGTGTTCGGGGGGCGGTTGGCTGGAAAGGCGGTTGGGGAGACGTCGGCGCCGATTAGGGTGGGGGATTTGAGGAGGGTCGAGGCGTCTTTTAGCCAGAGGCCTGCGCATATTAGTTTAGAGATGATAGAATAGAGGCAGTGGGTGACTTACCGTTGAAGGTCCCGCTGTCGAGGACTCGCAGATTGGGTTTGTCGAAAGGCAGAGGAGCCAGGATCAGTTTGCCCATGTAGGTTTTGATCAGGTCATGTTGCATGTTCATGCGTCTCTGCTCCTGATCCTCGTAGTTGAGGAGGTAGCCGTTTTCGGAGTCGGGGAGGACAGTCATGATGCAGTCGCAATTTCTGGTACACAGTAATGGTTGTTTACAGGTTAGATGCTGCTCAACCGGTATAGATAGACCACGTATATATATAGACACGATACCTTCATCAGGCATATGGAACACTCCACCCGTTTCGGTCTCCGAAATCGAATCTCAATGACCGTATCCGTCATGGCTTTGTTCAATTTGTTTATGAATCCATTCAATCGTACGATAGTTTCGTAGCACTCGGAGTCTGATCTCGGCGGATGAAGCTGTACACTGGGACCAATCTTACAATAGAATGATTCATGACATATTGGCATCCAAAACGAGGAACTTGCTTCAATTTATACTCCGGACACATTTTGTTCTAATTTCAGATTCTTCAATACAATTTGACGTAAGTACCGCTGTAACCTCAAATTCAAAGCAAGCCAAGTAACCTCAATGCTACGACGTAGAAAAGCACCCTCTGGCTGTATACGCCTATACTCTCGGCCTAAACTCGACCTCCGCCTCAGCATCCGGGAAAATAGCCAATCCTCCATACTTTGGCTTCGGATGAGGCCGTCCCTCGACCAGCCGTAGATCATAGTGACGAATCACATACGCCACAACCACCTTAATCTCTGCACTGGCAAAGAACCGCCCCGGACAAGCCCAGATGCCATGGCCAAAATTGATATTGTCGGCCCCCGTGGAGGTATGCTGCCAGCGGTTCTCATTGGCTCCTCCCTGCTGGCGTAGACGAGCAAACCGAAAGGCGTCGAACCGCTCCGGATTCGGATACAAAGTGGAATTCTGGTTGATGGGCTGCGCGCGCACCATCACTAGGTATCCCGGGGGGATCACATGGCCGGTCTTCAGCCGGAGGCCGTTTGGATCGGTGACGACCCGGGGGATGTTGACCAAGGAGGTTGGACTCAGACGCTGCGATTCACGCACGAAGCTGTCCAGCTTGATCAAGCGCGGGAGGGCGGTCTTGTCGATGCTCTCGGCGCCGACGTTGGGGCCGAGGACCTGGTCGAGTTCCTCGCGTAGCTCGTCCACGACGGCGGGGTACGCAGCGAGATCGAAAATAACATATGTCAGCGCGTTGGATAGGTTGTAGATCGAGGCAAAGGTGGCCAGCAGTTGATCGCGCGTGAGCTGCTGGGCCGTAGCCGTTTTGCCCTGTGTCTGGTACCGCGACTTGAACCAGTCGATCATATCGCCGCCGGGAACCTTCTCTTTTGCGGGCGACAGCTTCTGCGCTTCTTGATCGGCAAGAAGCTTTGCAATTTTGCGCCCGATGAGCGCCTTGTTCTGCTCTAGGGTTTTGACCTCGCGCAGGAACGGGGCAACCAGTGGTCGGATCCAGTGCGGGTAGAAGCGCAGGACCATCCACGCGCGCGAGACGTCCTGGGTGTAGTTGACGTTGGACTCAATCCAGTCTGGTTCTCGGCTGAGGGGCAAGCCTACAAAGGCGCGGCCGGACAGGATCGTGGCGACCTTGGGCATGATCGACCGGGGCTTCACTCGGGTCCAGGTGTTTGGCGGGACCTGGAGCACGGTCGACATGGCGTAGTCGATCTCGGCTGTAAACGAGGCCAACACGGCCGGAGTGTTGCGGACCAGGAGGTATCTCATCGCGTCGTCGAATTCATCGGCCTTGGTGCCCATGTACGAGTATTCGCCGAGGAACTGGTTGTAATGGTGCTTCTTGATGGACAGCTGGTTCTCGGGCAGTGCCTTGACGGTGTCGATTTCAGAGACGGGAAGAACAACTACTTGCTGTCCTGGGACTCCCAGTGCGAACGGAGTATCTGGATACTGCTACTGTCAGCTTCATCGTACGACATGTTGTGTTGTTGCGAGTACCTTGGCATGGCCGTCCTCCAGCGTTTTCACAATGTCTTGATCACCAACACTTTGCAGGACCGGCAAGTCCAACGCCTTTAGACTCTTTGTCTTTTGCAAAAGCAGCCGATATACCCAGTAGAGCAGGCCGACTCCAAACGAGACCGCGACTGCGGTTCGCAGGGACTGGGGGAGGTAGACTTGGTCCATGGCGAGTGCGTCAGATCTATCTCTCTTTGCTTCAGCGAGGTTTAATTCAATTCTGTAATCGACTCTCCATGGGCTATATGTAATTCTACTTGGTTCTTTTGAATGTGGCGCAACATGCGTCTTATACATCAATTGCATGGCCATTGGCCCATCCCGCGGAAACATTTTTCGGATGCCGAGAAAAAAGTGTCCGAACCCATCTGAGGTATATAAATACGACCCAAACGAGGCTCTTACTTTCTTTTTTTCTGTTCTCTTCGTCATTTCTTGCATTTAAATACTTGCTCTCATACCACAAACATGTCGATCGGCAAACTACTATCCAACGGAGCCCTCCTCGTCGACGTGCTCATCATCGGCGCCGGTCCGGCTGGTCTCTCGGCAGCCACTGGCCTCGCTCGTCAACTACACACGGCTGTCGTCTTCGACTCTGGCGTGTATCGCAATGCGAAGACCCAACACATGCACAATGTCCTCGGATGGGACCACCGCAACCCCGCCGAGCTGCGCGCCGCAGGTCGCGCCGACCTGACCAACCGCTACTCCACCATCCAATTCCAGAACAGCACCATCGAGGCGATCAGGCAGATTGAGACCCACCAGCTGTTTGAGGCGCGCGACAGCGAAGGCCACAGCTGGTACGGTCGCAAGGTCGTGCTGGCGACCGGCGTCCGAGACATCCCCCTCGACATTGAGGGATACTCGGAGTGCTGGGCGAACGGTATCTACCACTGTCTCTTCTGCGACGGCTACGAGGAACGTGGCCAGGAGACCGCGGGTGTCCTTGCTCTGGGGCCCATCGCGAACCCTCCGCGCGCTCTGCATTTGGCTCGCATGGCCAACCGGCTTTCCGAGTCTGTCACGGTCTATACGAATGGCAATGAGCAGCTGGCGAAGGAGATCCAGCAGGCTGCAGAGGAATCCCCTGCTGGCGCCTCGTGGCTGAAATTCGATGCTCGACCCATCAAGCAATTCGAAAAGGGCGATGTCGCCAAGACCGTCATTGTTCATTTTGGGGAGTCTGAGTCGAAAACAGAGGGCTTTTTGGTACGTTACCCACTTTATTTTGAAGAGATATCCTGCTAACCGCTGCAAACCGCTCAGGTGTACAACCCCCAAACCGAGGTGAACGGACCGTTTGCCAAGCAGCTCGCCTTGAATATGACAGAAGGAGGGGATATCCTGACCACGCCTCCCTTCCATGAGACCAGTGTGCCTGGAGTATTTGCCGTGGGGGACTGTGCCACGCCGTTAAAGGCTGTCACCCCGGCGGTGGCGATGGGATCTTTGGCTGCTGGAGGTCTAGTGGCTCAGTTGCAGGCTCAGTCATTGCCGGAGTTTCGTCTCGATCAGGAGCTATAGGAGTTTGTTATAGTTGTACATAGTTTTTAGTTTCCGAGGTTCAATTGAAATCAAGTGACTTTCCTTATTTCTGTCATTAGTTCTAAATCGTGAGTTATCAATCTCCAAAGATCCGTAACAAATAAATAAGAATGGAAGACGCAAAGAAACTTTCTCCGGTTGGGCAGGTCTGAACCTCAACGTTGAAATCGCTCGCTGTGGATAGCTTCATATCCCGCCGGTGGTACAAACTCGGCGACCGAAAACTACGGCATTCCTCGGAGAACGCCTCCTATATCATAATATAACACCCCCAGACCTCAGACAGATTCTCAACAACAGCAACATCACCATGGCGACCTCCATCCCCTTCTTCGAATACAACATCTCCTTCACGACCCCCGCCAACCCACCGTCCTGTGAGCCCAAGCTCACGGCAAAGGATCTCTGGACCGGCATCGCCAGAGTGGCAGATGCTCCCCAGGAATATGCGCCCTACGTCTCCAAGTGCGAGGTGCTCTCGCGCAACGGCCACGCTCTAGAGCGCAAACTGACCATGGCCAACGGGGCGGTCCACAAAAGCGACGGGGAGATTATGTATCAAGATGTGTGGATTGCGGATCGTTTACTGGTAGCTATTCTCTTCCAGCAGTTCATCCTGTGCAATAGCTGACTCGTCCAGGTGGAAGCCAGAACCAAGGATACAGGCGCAAAGACTACCTTCCTGCTGTCCTACCACGACACGGCAACCGTGAGCCCCGAATCCACGGATATCAGCTTTACTGTGATTTACGAGTTGAAGTTGGCCGGGATCGAGCCTGGTAGTCCCGAGGCTGAACGCATTCAGGCGGAATACCCTGAGCTGACGCGCAAGGCCTGCACCTCGACGGTGGAGCAGATTCGGGAACGGAAGAAGAATGGGCAGTTGGACGTCTGGGCTCAGGCTGGTGAAGTTCCTGGCTGGTGATAGATGGGTGAATATTGATGAGCCTGTATTATGATCGGCCATCTGATTCTCAGTCATCTGAGTGTTGTCTGCATAGTGTAAATAAAGGCCTGTGCAGATCATTCCCAGAATCGTGGGCTACCCATACACTCAAGTAGGGTGTTAGATAGTTAAACTAACTACTCTGCTGCTATGCCTGTGATTGACTAATGCAGATGCCAGAAATTATGATGGAAGTGCGACCTTAGGGTCTAACATGCTTCCAATCATTATGCGCAGGCTATTTGCCTTGATTTGCAAGCCCAGCCCAGCCCAGATGTCATTCACGTCTCTCTAATTGGAAACCGAGCAGAATCAGCGAGCCATGAGAGGGAAGACTGACGGCCATGAGGATAACTGCTACCCTTTAGCTATTACTATGCTCACCCATTTTAGTCATCTTTGTTGCTGTGCCTACACCACTCAAACGTGAATCCAAGGTCAATAGGCTCACCCGAAGAGAGCAGGTCAAGGAGACCGCGCTTGACTAAGGCCTGACAGAATACCTTTTTCAAGAAGAACTCCTCTGTCAAGTTGTCCAGATCCACGTCCTCACGGCTATCTCGGTTGGATTCTCTGCGACTGCTTGCCTCGCTATTGGTTCATTATGGCTTTTCCAGAAACATTCTAAAGATGGCAGGATCCCGCTGCCAATTGTCATCCTCAAAATCTCCAAGGACGGCTAGATCTTCAGATATCACCACGAATTCTCAGGTTCCAAACTGCAAGACAAGCTGTAAGCAATATGATCTGAATGCACCACTTCAGCAGGAGGAATACATACCAGTATGGACAACCCTGCATTCTTTATGAAGATGATCTAGAACCGCAAGAAGAACACGTATGTACGAGTTGATTCTTAGCTGGATCGACTGATGTCATACAAAATTGACTCTATAGGTTGACTGGTCTATTGCTATCACAATGATTTCAGGCCACTGAGGAAATTGAGAATTTCGCCCCCTAACCTAACTGATGGAGATATAGTGTGTGTAAAGGAGGCAGGGCAGATACTACATAGTGGTGGTAGCCCTTTATCTTATAGTCTGGTTCTGACAGGACGTCGCTTATTTTTGTTGTTCATGGACAGTTAAATGTCTTCTGGATCCCTGTGGAAGCCTTAATGATTACAATGAAATAAACAGAATATATAATATAAACAGCATTGTGACTAGACAATAGCTGACTATAGGCATCTCTCCCTTCCAGATACTGATAACTACTCTATCTGGCAGAGTATTAAGCAGGTTCTACACACATTGGTAGTTGCTGAGGATTCTTTTAGCAAGATGAGGTGATATAGACATCTATCCCAACAAAGATGCATTCTAATCAGTCCTTCAACAATACTTTGAAGTCATCTTATTCTATAATGTACCCACTATTTGGGAATAGTATCACAGTACCAAAGTGCGGATCGTACCTATACTATCTCTCTGGTCTGGCAGACTAAAACTTCATAAAAGTACACTAAGCGCTTTTCAAGAGTCCTCGGTACTTTTTCACTCTAACATGGCCCGCTCAGCCTTGCAAGGGTATGAGAAACCAGCCTCTTAGGTTTTATTATCAAATTAATAATCCATGTGAGTTCACTGCGCCGCAATACAAAAAGGGGATAATGTCAAACAACCAGGCGTCTGAGTTTGGGCACTTCAGGGGCGCGCGCTGAGAATCCCCAGGAGCATTTTCTTCTTTTACATATTCTGTTCTCTTTTCTACCTCGCACAGCAAAGTTTCACTGAGATTGTTCAGCTTTGAAGAAGATGGCGGAACTGACCCGTGAGCAAGCTCGAGAGATCGTGGATGAGATTAGCGAAAGGAATGGTATCATCACTGACGAAGATCGAGCCGCGACGCCGCCTGCTGTTATAAAAGCGCTGCACAAGGTTCGCAATCAACTTGGAAGAATTCGGCACAGGTGGACGCCATGCGACACACCGGATGTTAGAAGGGACGTTGTGTTCAAGTTGATCTCCAGCGCCTGCTGGTTGCACTACAATTGGGCAAAGAAGCAAGCAAGAGAACCCTATTTTTCCTTAGACGTGTCTCCGGACCGTATGATTATCGACATCAATGACGATGGGTGCCTAAAAAGCGACATCGTGCGGCTTTCTGAGGGCGGTGGTTCTTCCCTTTTTGGCCGCTCCAATGCCCTAACACACTTGTATGGCGAAGGTCTTCTATATACATTTAGGATTGCCAGGGAAGCCCACGTACAGTCAGGTCCGTTTTCCTTCACCCTTGGACCTCGAAGTCTCGGCGACAAGCTTGGAGTTACAACCCCGGTAAACAAAGACCCGGCATCCTTGCCCGAAGGAGTGCGCACCAGGATAATTCTGTACCCTGCTCTGCCGGGGGGATTCGATAACTTGGCTCAGGAGTTTAAGGATATTGCAAATAATGGTTTTGTGCTGCTCAATCCTGATGATACTCGCCAACCTATGTGCAAGAAGTTTGTTTTCATTGCCCGTCTGGGAAACTATCAAACAACACGCCGAACATACGAATTCCAACTGCGAGACGGTATCCTGGAGGTCACCAAAACAGCTCCGGGCCTTTTTATGTCGCCTTTACAATCAACGGAGTGCTTCCTCCTATACAAGCCAACCCTGCCGCCTTATTCGTTCGATAAGATGGCGCTATTGTTTCCCATCGATGAAGATTCAAGGCCCGTCATAGAACCTCAAAAGGCTTACCATATTGTTGGTCCATTCGCTTTTCCTATTAGAGGAGTGGGGTTCAGTGTATGTGGTTCGATTAATGCCACCTCCAAGTAGGCTGCTAACTTTATAGTTCGTTGTTTGTGCAACTGTGACGACGTTCGACCCGGTGAAAGATGCCGACATCGACACTTCTACATTATTAAAAGATTGTGTCATCGATTCCTTCTGCGATGCCGTTTCCTTCTGTCAGAATCACGCCATGCCTTGTGAATGGGTCCGGTACATTCCCAAACAGAGCGATGTCTCACCAGCTTGGCATAGCACAGTTCAAGGGTTAATTGAAAAACTCCGAATGGCCCCTGTTTTCCAGAGTCAGGACGGTGCTCTAAAAAGCCTGTCTTCACTTCGGTACTTGTCCCCGGAGCATTACAGCGCAGATAACGAGCCCTTGTTCGGCGCGTCGGATGATGAACATTACCTTTCTACAAAATACAGTGCCTACCTCGATTTTTTGAAGCCTCTAGGCCTCCAAGAGGTCTGGGGCCGTGAAGTCCTGGAAAGGCTCAAACCGATACTGACAAAACCCTTGCGTCTGCTGCCGAGTTCCAACCTACAAAAGGAGCGGATATCGCTGATCCTACGATTGCTAATAGGGTGGCTAAAGAGGGATCCAAAGAATGCCTTGGCATTTGAGATAAGGAACATTCCGCTTATTGAATTGAGCAACGGCACTTTTGTTCGAGGCAACGACCTAAATTTGACAAGATGTGAAGCTGATTTGGCTTTGGCAAACGATGCTGTCTACTTTCCGACAGACACCAACGGCAATGACGTTCCGAAATGTCTTGATATTTTGACTGTTTCAGATGAAGCAGCCAGGGACAACGACCAAAATGAATTATACTGTCTCCTTGGGGTTCGACGTGCGAGTCCTGAACTCATCATGGGGGTAATCAGCGACCACAGCCATGCCATCTCCTTTGTGCCGACCGCTAGGAATCATATAGCTGACTATATGCACATCCTATGCTACGTCTATGACAGCTGTGCCAAAGACGATCGCTTGAAGACGCCCTGCCTTATGGTTTTTGATGAGCGCTGTCAGAGGAGACCGGTATGCAGGACCTCTTGCCCTAGGTATTTTCCCTGCGATGTATACCTCAGAACGGAGGGTGCCTACGGAACGGAAGCCATTGCAAAAAAATTGGACTCAGACCCTTTATTCAGCCCACGCCTTCCTCTGTTGCACCCTACCTTTCTCTATCCAAATCTCATAAGCAAAACGCACATTGCCAATGATACGTGGAGAATATGGCTGGAACAGCAAGGGATAATACGGCAAGTTCCCCGCTTGACACACTGGAAAAATCCTGAGCAGCTCTCCGATCTATTCAACGCAATAATATCTAACCATCCGGACATTCTTCTTGGTATCCTGGGAAAGTATTGGGACGCATACGCAACAAAGATAAAAGAAAAACCGCTCATTGCATCTGCTATCAAGGCAGCGAAAGTCCCGACGTCCAATGGACTGGTGAGGCTTGATGAATGCTCCTTTCCCATCCCCGAGTTTTGTAACCTGGTTGAGGCTGTGTCAACCACATTGAACATCAGCTTTTTCAAGCTACCGGGGATCTGGAACCTGGAGAGTGAGCAGGAATGGGGATTTCTCCGAGAGCTTGGTGTGTCCGGTGGCGGCGACGAGACTTTTATAAAGGTCGTTCAAGATCGCTTGTTATCCACCATGACATTGGAGGACGCCAAACCACATTTTTTCGAATTATACAGGTGGATATCTGAGAGAGTATTTGACGATGACCTCTGCTGTTTTAACGAACAAGGGAGATTTTTCCGCGACGAGCAGACTGTCTATATTCCCAATACAGGTGATGGTGCAAAGTTAGTGTTTCTTGATCAATGCGTTTGGCAAGGTCCCTCGTGGTTGCGGACTGTGTACGCTCTTGCGTTCCATGAGGAATACGGGAGCGACTTGAAAATACGACGCCTATTTCAAGACGGACTCCTCGTGGACGACGCGGACTGGGGAACCTATATGACAGAATTGATGCGCCTACACAGTATTGGGGTAGGCTCGATAGCAGAGACGCAAAGGATATACCAGGCTATCATGGAGGATATTGAAGATGAGGAGGATTGGAACAGTCTGCGGTGAGTATAGACTCCAGACCGGTGCCTGAACGCCCTCTGACAATGGCTCAATTATTAGGACTCAATTTCAACGATACGAGATGATATATGTACCAGGCTCAAAGCAGTGGTATGCGCCTCAACAATGCATCTGGGCATCATTTTCGACCGGTGATAAAATCGGCATAAGCGATGCCTATCCAGATATGGTGAGCTTCTTTGTTGAGAAGCTCCAGGTTCAGCTGCCTTCCATACTTTGCTATACCAGCCGTATTCAGGACCTTTGCAAAGACAAAGGAAGTGTCGCTGATGTTATTGAGGCTCTGTGCCATATCAACAACCTCGAACCAACGATGTCTGACTTGAATCACCTCAAGCTTATCAGTTTCCTGCCAATCGAGGGCCCCGAGGAAGAGTTCTACTGGGGATCCGTAACGTCCGATTTCTTTATCATCGATAGGGACGGCTGGCCTACGCTCTTCTATGGAAAGGTGCCAACGGTTCAGTTTCGTCTGGAAGAAGTCCGTGAATTAGCTCCACTCTTGAAATCCCTGGGGCTAGAAAACCGTTTCATTTCCGTTTGCGCAGCGAGGAAAACCAGCGTCCCAGAAATGCCTTCGCAGACCTCATTGCATCTTACGACTGACTTCCGTCAAAGGGCATCAGGTTTGTCGAGGTACGTTTCTCCACATAATTGATTTTGTGAAACTTACGGCTAAACTTTTCAAGATGCATCGCCCACTACAACGGCGGAAATATGCGTGCTGCTCGCGAATTATACGATACATTTCGGAAGGCATTAGTATACGAAACTGGGCATATCGTCGGAGAATGTACCTTGACTTCACTGTCTGGTTCCAGCACAAGCAAGGAAACATACAGCAGACTACACATGGAATATCTCAACGGCAAATTAAGCATCTTCGTTCCTCGTGATGAAAATGAAAGACTGATATGCTACGCGACGCAACTGCCGGAGTCTCTAGTGACTTCCCTGGAAATCAAAGACCCCGCTGCCCATGGCATATTCGCCATAGTTCTTCAGGTACCAGTTGAGATCGTGGATGGTATATTAGGAATCTATGGTATTCCCGAACTATCCGATCTGGACCCTGTCAGCCCAGTGATTATCGACGATTCGGAATCTGCCTATGAGGATGCGCTAGAGGAGGTGTTTGTACCGAGGGCTTCGATTGCTTGGGGTGGCAAGGATCAATTGCTGGCGTCGGGACAGTCAGAACTTCAGCTGGTTCTACGGTCAAAGGACACGGCCATCACGGAGTATCGGCATTGCATACTCTCAGATAGACACGAAACGACGGCCATGGAACATGCGGAGGGATGAACGATGTAGTAGGGATCATCTGAATTAACTCAATTGGCCTACTGGTTAGGTTTCCTAGGTAGAGAACTCAACATCTTAGAGTCAGTGCTACATCATTACTTATTACATGGGTCACAATGCACTTAATTAGTGGGTAAGGATCCTATAGGGTCACCCTAAAGTATACTGAAAAGTAGGGTGGAGATAGACATGTAGGTAGCTTGACAGACGGTTATTATTTATATTGTTCATAGAGAGGTACATATATTATGGATCCCTGCACTATATTGCTCTCCAACAAACAGATAGAATATATAATTGTAAGAACAGCATTGAGATTAGGCAATAGCTGACCACGTGAATCTTTACTTCATTAAGGGCAATACCTACTATATCTGGCAAAGTGTTAAGCAGGTTGTACAGCACAGTGGTAGGTTCTCATAGATATTGTTGAGTGACTCAAGACAGCCCTAACAAAGACGCATCATAACCAGTTCCTTCATAACACCAAAATCCTCCCCATATAATCTGCACATATGCGAGGACCAGTTATCAACCACAGCTGCTTTATCAGTCAACTTTATCAACGCCTGCAAAATGGTAATGAGAAAGAAGACATTCGACGACAAGCAAGGAGACGGCTTGTCGCGGACGTATATTGATCCCAGCATCGCAGGAATGCAGTCGTACATTTCACTGGTCATTTGAGACACCACAGCTGACAGTCCGCCAGATTGCGTCCAGTGTACATCACCCAAAGCCAAACTTATCGACTGGAGAGGACTAGCGAGGGAACTTTGAATGACCCTATGTGCAAGGATACGACAGAGCCGATAGTAAATCCACACCCGTGCTATCCAACAGGCATCATGACCATGCTGTGATCTCTCTGGGTTAAGGGGATCCGTCCAAGTCGATGGGAGGCAAGTCGCCCAAGACTGCAGGGATCGAGCAGTCTCTAAGGCTTTGGACATGATATGGCTCTGCGTTTGGTTGTGACCCTGGCTCTTTTCCACATAAAGGTCCACCAGGCTACAGAGAAGGGGAAATAGCTCCACTGGTGGTTCACTTTTCGACGTTTCAGCAGATTGTACCAGATCCACAAGAAAGGAGGGAACTCTTTGCCCGCTGATTATGCAGGCTACTGCCTAGATGGGAAGTCAGTCCCAACAACAAACGAACTACAGCGAATGCCTCTAGTGCTTAACTTACGACAGTATAGCAGACCTGAAGCACAGCTGTCATCTGCGTGCTATTCATATCTGCCAAACCCCGAGAATAAAGGACCGCCGTCGTCCCATGGATATGCTTTAGCCACTGATAGGAACCGGAATGATTATCGTACATTATCATCTAACGACTAATCAGTGGGTGATAGGTAATTGAAAAATGATATAGAATGCGACACACCTCAAACATCGACAAATTGAAGCTAGAGGTGGCCGTGTGCGCTGCGGGCGACTGCTCAGGATCATGAATGGCACGCGCAAGAAGCCGAAGAGCCGTTGCATACTTGCGTCGAGCCAGCTGCATCAACTGGGGATCGCGATGGGCAGCTGCCAATGCGGCCAGGCCAACGCAGATAACGCTCGTAACGATGATTTTGGGGCGCTCTTGGTCACGCTGTGGGACGGGACCGCGTGTGATGGTGAACTGATCAAGGTAATGCTGCAATGCGATCTCCTCCACGGGCACTGGTGGAATGAAGAAGGTTAGATCATGATGACGGGCCTTGCCGTGCAAGGTCACATCTTTTGCATGATACTTCTGGGCTATTCTCGATGTCTGATCTTGAAACACGAGATCCGAGAGTGTTCTGTAGCCAGAGCATTGTAGGCCTGCTCGGGCGCATTGAGAGCACCTTGGTCTGAGCTGGTTGCACTGTATAAAGTATTAGAGATGTAAACCTAGAGCGCTCAACGGGGCCTACCTTGATCCTTCGGGACCGGCAGTTTTCACATCCCAGTTTGCCACGGCTGACAGATACCATGATGGATTGCTTGGATACCGAGCAGATCAAGACAAAGTAGAGGGTCGTGAATCTCATGCGTAGACTGAGTGATGAAGGAAAGAGAAGGATGTCTGAGGCGGCAGGGCAGACAATGCCTCGTATAACCGCGCGGATTTAAGACCAGGCCCGAGACTATACTTTCGACGCTATTTCACGAGTGGATTTCCTATTTGGGACGTAGTGCTTACTTTTAACTATTAAAAGAACGAACATGAGCAAGATCAATTACGAAGTACTCCGTAGACAGAAAGCCAAGCATTTCGGCAGCGGCATCAGATGGTAGGTAATCGCTGCTCTGCTACCGAGCCTTCAGAAAATGCGCTATTGTACGAGTCAAACACCTGTTTTGGTTGTTCCTTCGATCATGGAAAGGATGCGTATATATAAATATGAATAAATCTACAGCCACAAGCATATCAGAGAGCGATATAAATAGGAGCTCCATCCCTCCCCAGTGTGCCTTATTACTCTTCATCAGACACGTTTTACTGTGGATAGGATACTAATATACCATCTCCTACACAAGCATCATTCTCAACATGACCGCCATCCAGAAAGTTGCTTTGCTCGGCGTACGTCCCTGTCCTAATCAGAACCTCTTTTCGGTGGCTAACAACAAGACAGAAAGGGTTCCTCGGATCTGCCGTCCTTGACCAGCTTGTCAAAGCCGGTTTCGATGTGACCGTCCTCACTCGGTCCCGCAGCTCCATCCAGGGAGTCCCAGCCGGAGTTGCAGTAGTTGAAGTCGACTATACGTCCACAGACAGCCTGGAGCATGCTCTTCGCGGCCATGACGCCGTCGTCTCCACCGTCAACTCGGCAGCATTCATGATCCAGCAACCAGCCATCGACGCAAGTATCCGGGCTGGTGTCAAGCGCTTTATCCCAGCGGACTTTGGGGCCCTGACCACCGCCCCGGAGGCGCAGGGTCTCCCCGTGCATGCTCGTCCCGTGGAGATCCAGAACTATCTGAAGGAAAAGGCCCGGTTGGGAGAGTTGGAGTATACCATTATTGCCGTGGGCCTGTTCCTAGACTATGTGGTCTCTAGCCCATTTGTTGTTGACAGGGTCAATCGGACGGCTGTGCTGTATGATGGCGGCAAGCATCCGTTCAGCACAACTAGCGTGGCTAGTATTGGGAAGGCCGTCGCCGGTGCGTTGAGGAATGCCGACGCCACGAGGAATCGCGTGCTTTATGTGCACGACATGGTTTTGACGCAGAGGAAGGTTTTAGCGTTAGCAAAGAAGTACAATCCGCCTGCAGAGGCTTGGACTGAATCGAACGTCGACGCTGAAGCTCAACTTGCTGACATGGTTAATCAAATTTCGGAGAAGGGGATGGACATGTCTCTGGTTTTTGGGTTGCTCAAGGCTGCCGTCTTTAGTGGGAAGTATCCATCCGAGTATAAGAATGTGGATAACGAGCTTTTGGGTCTGGGGATCATGGGTGAAGAGGAGTTGGAAGCGATGTTTGAGGCAAAATGTAACTAATTCTTCTGGTATAGTTACTTGGATATATCCGGTTTCTTTGACTTGTCGTATATAGAGCGGAAGCAGCCAGCTCATGGGATATTGATATTCCAAGAGACGTTTTTCTTGACATTGGACCAGCTCATGAGCCACTTGGCATGAGTACGAGACTCCGAGCTGGGGTCATGAGTCTTTTACGACCTCAACTTCCTTGACTAGCCTTCCTCTTCTCTGCTTCTCTACTTCCTTCTTCCCATAATATAGATAGTCTGCTTCCTGGTGCCATTATGATGCGTGCTCTCCGCATCCTCAGACACGCCGTCTTCTCACCCTCCCCCTCAACACTCCCCTCCGCCTGCTACTCCTCCAACCCATCAGCTTAATCACATATACCATCGAATGGAGCATTTCCCGCCAATCCCCGTACACTAGTGAGATATAGATCCCTCTCAAACGCAGAGCTGGCTCCGTCCGAGCCGTTGTCTACACCCGTAAATCCCACCATCGCTCCCCCTTGGGAAAAAATGTATCTTAACATCCACGGAGGAGCGTTCCTCGGCGGCCTCCCAGAAGGTATGCGCGCTTCTGTTCGGAGCAAGCAGAGAAGACTGGAACAGTGGTGATTTCTAGCTCATACCAGTACGCCCCGCGACACGTCTTCCCCGTTGTACACGAGGACGTGCAAGATGTCGCAAGCTTTCTCTTGGGAAACGCGGAGAAACTCTGGAATGCCTAAACTCTTCACTGTTAGCGGGTTCTCCGTGGAGGGAATCTGGCGCTTGCTGTTGCGCAGAGCGTAGCAGGGACACCGCATGCTGTTAAGGGCTTGTTGGTTTTTGTGCAGTTGTACGACCCCTACTATATCCGGAAAGACAAATCCGAGCAAACGATGGGCTGATATCGGAACTAGGTTGACCTGCGCCTCCCACGCTGGCTAAAGCCCAAGCCCTCGGACTTCCCAGCGGTAGATCCTTTGTTTTTCCTACAGCCGCTTTTCGACGCTTATGCTGGGCCAAACAGTCGGCAGAATATGGAGCATCCGATGCTGCATTCTATCCTCGCTGATATCCAAGCCTTGCCGCAGAACATGTTCTTTATTATTGCGGGTGCGGATATCCTCCTGCAGGAGTCGAAAGACATGATACAGAGACTAGAGGACGAGGCAAGGGCTATTAATCGGGCAAGGGGTCTTCCTGAGGAGCCTAAGGTCCCAGATGGGCGATCTATTCGTGTTCTAAACATTGTGTTTGAGCGACAGTTGCATGGGTGGTTGGATTATGAGTTCCCTTGTCATCATATTCCTTCCGGGACGCAAATATCAGGAGTGCCATCTTCTGTTATTGATGTCAGTACACGCACTCGGGCTTTTGGTGAAACAACCACATTCCTCCGCGACGTCACCGGGCATATGGGTACAACTGGCCTCTGTAGTCCTGGCAACTTGAGATGTCGCTAACCACCTCCTTCTGTATAATACCTAATATCTCATCTCCGCAATGCATGTATGGTTTCTGTGCAAGATTTGCTGCTCACTATTTAGGAAACCTTGAATGACAGAGTAAACATATGTACATTTGACTGCTTACCATTCTGGAACTTATCCATTCGCATCACTTCCTCACTTGAGTCACTTCTACTGCCAACTACCTCATGCTCCATTAGATGCTACTAAAAAGCAGTTATATACGTAGCATCCATATCTAGAGCATATTAGATGCCTCCTCAGCCTTCAGTATTCGGGATGAGCAAGGTACCGAGAGAGCTTACTGGATTTGTTTTAGACAAGAGGATTTACCTCAACCCAGTAGGAATGAAAGTGTTTCCGCAGCCCTAAATGTGGCTGCAGAATATCCAAACGGCACATACATGATAAGAAAGACATGTCTGATCCTCTGGGCGAGTCTGAAGAAGTCAAACAGGTTCTGGGATGTGTTATGTTGTATTCCCTGCTGTGTTGACTCTACTGCTATCATCTTACTAGCTAGAGACGGTTATCTGGACATCTTTTGCGATGAGGGGTCTGATATATGTTATGTTATATAAGATGTATTCCGGCCGAATGTGATAATATACTTGCTACAAGATGGCATGCTAACTATAAATTACTGTGTAGCTCTGGGCCGCAATATGTTCATAGGATTATTAATACCAATATATATTTGTCAGTGGGAGGTCTTCTAGATTCTTGATTATGTGTCTCATATATGCACTTTGTTAACAGCAGCCAGGCAATTAGTTGGCAACGGCCTACGTTTGACCCGTTTAGGAAATCGGTCTATTGTGGCCCCTTAATGTAAGCTTAATTACTGACTTGCTCCGTTATCGAGTCTCCAGCTGAAGAGACTGCCCTTCAGCGCAGACTAGCATAACCTATTTTAGATGCTGACCAGTTTCGATGAAAATACAGAAAGGACTATTTTTCAACGCAATGACTTGACCAGTGAACAGGTTGGACTTTCACAGAGTTGGGCGCAGTCCATCTTCCTTCCCATAGACTATATTTCCCCGATCCAGGAAAATTCTCGGCTAAAAGACGACAAACTCTTCACGAATCCACCTGGATCTGAGACACTCCAAAGGTCCCCGTTGATAGGTTCTTATAAGGCCGTGGAAAGACAACTGCGCATAGCATTACAGTGTTTAACCACACCAGGAATGTAGATCAAGCCACTTGGGAATTGAACCCGCAAAATTTACACGCACTTTGCCAGCAAGACACTGTTACTATCCCCAGTGCACCACGGGATGCCATGGTGTCGCCTGAAAGGATTGCCCCTGAGGAATACTGCTGGGATCCGGATCCTACAGGAATCCTTCAGGTCCAGTCGGGCTCCGGAACACTCCGGAAAATGCCCTGGAAGATGATCGACCACTAAGTTGCTCTCTCGGTTTATCCCTCAAAGTCTAATTGATCATTTCTCATTTGCGATGTCTTAAACGTGTTGAAGGCAGCAGGCGTTCCGGACTTGGAGCGCTGACTGATAGATGTTGATATAAAGGCTGGGATGTCTACTGCATTCTACCAGGTCAACAACAGTGTTCTGGCAACAGTTCTTTGACTCTCTTTCGAGAACCTTTCATTCTTTCAGTCTTTCGTTTACAGTCTTTTATAGACACCTTCGTTCGTTAACCCGTAACAATGCGTGTGTCATTGTTGTCTACACTCTTTACCACTCTCCTTTTCACAGGAGCGCTGGCCTGCCCAACCAAGCATGATGGCAAGCATGGCGGCAAGCAGATGCTACCACCATCGGGGACTCCTGGCCCTGAGGTTGCTGGAAAGAAGTCCCTGGCCTACTATGGAAACTGGTTGAGTAGGTCGCTTTGTTCTACGACTACGATCAATCACTAAGTCGGGATGGTAGGACATCTATGCCCGCCGCTTCATGGTCACCGACATTCCCGCCGATAAGTTGACTCATCTCTCCTACGCTTTTGCCAACGTCAACACCACCACTGGTTCAATGTGAGTGATACTAGCGGTTCCTAGCTTAGCGGTATAAAAGGGCTACAATGCTGACCCCATTCCAGTTTCTTGAGCGATGAGTGGGCCGACCTGCAGTATTCCTACCCCGGCGATAATAACACGGCTCCCGGAACCAACGTCTACGGAAACATCAAGCAGCTGTACCTCCTCAAGAAGGCTCATCGCAACCTCAAGACTATTCTCTCCGTTGGTGGATGGACCTACCGGATGAACTTTGCCCCCATGCTGGCCTCCGAGACCAAGCGGCGCCAATTCGTGGCCTCCGCAATGGAGCTGGTGTCCAACCTCGGCTTTGACGGTCTTGATGTCGATTACGAGTACGTCAACGGTACCGAACAAGCCGCCCAGATGGTCAGTCTACTCAAGGATCTGCGCGCTGGCTTCGACGCTCTCGAAAAGAAGCTGAACGCCACTTTCCCCTTCATCATCTCCTATGCGTCTCCCGCCGGATCCGACAAGTACAAGCTGCTCGACCTCGTCAACATGACCCCCTACGTCGACTTCTACAGCTTCATGGCCCTCGACTACCAGGGTGGCTTCAGCAACTACTCCGGACACCAGGCCAACCTCTTCACCGACGTGTCCAACCCCAAGTCGACCGACTTCGAGACCAACTCCGGCATCCTGCACTACATCTCGGCCGGCGCCCCCGCCAACAAGATCCTGCTGCAGTCTCCCCTCTACGGCCGCGCCTTTAACCTTACCGCTGGCCCTGGTACCAAGTTCGCCGACGTCGGCACCCTGGGCAGCTTCGGCACCGCCGGTGTCTGGGACTACAAGGCTCTTCCCGTGCCCGGCTTCAACGCTAGTGTCGTCGAGTTGCCCGCCATCGGCGCCAGCTACAGCTATGACGCCGCCCGGAAGTACATGATTTCCTACGACACCCCCGCAATCGCCACGGTCAAGGCCGAGTACATTAAGAGCCTTGGTCTTGGTGGTGCCAGCTGGTGGGAGGTTAGCATGGACCGCAACGACACCAAGAGCTTGATCAGCAGGACTATCAACGCCTTTGGTGGTGCCGAGGGGCTCGAGAAGAGAAAGAACAACCTCAACTATCCTACCAGCAAGTATGCCAACTTGCGCGCTGGGATGCCTGGTCTGTGAGGCTGAACTCTGGAGCAGGCCAAGTGATCGACTACGCCCTTGGTAATTGTGAAGTGGGGGTTTGCTTGCAGTTTACTTTCTGCACCTTGTTTCTTACTTTAAGAGACAGTAGCTTTGTCATGGATATGGTGATGTGCTTTTGCATCTTTTCTTTCCCTTTTCTCTTGGAAGCTAGGATTGCCTGCTACTGAGTGGCTGAGCGCTTAGCAAGAGTTAGGAATTATCTTATCCTAAATGTAGAATTGTAATATTATCTACAATCTCTGTCTATGCAGTTTCTATACGTAGTATCTTACAGGGTACTCATTCTGTTAATCTAGACACCACAAAAACACCCGGCTTCAGAATAAATATCGCCCTACCTCTGCTGAGTACCTATGCCCTAGCTCCATAATCTCCCTCTCATCAGACCTGCAGAGTGCAGACACCATCCGACAATTCTAGCCACTTCGCCCTGTTCCTGGTGCCTGATCCTGCAATCCACAGCGGCTGATTAACTTTTAGTGGCACTAGCAGCAGCAGCAACCCTGATTCTCATTCGTCTGTCTGATACAATTGGGCAATAACATGGCGGCCCTAATATAGTAGTGATACATTAAGGTATTTTTACCGAAATTTCCCCGCAGGCTGGCGTGATCCTTCAAGTGACTTGACCTATCTACCAGAGTATCATCAACACAGCTAAAAGTTATATGCCCCCTTGAAATGATATTGTCTTCTTTACGTACATCCCTGAATTGCTGGTACCTTGGCTGAGTGCCCTAAGTCAGGCGCTCTTGCACAATGGCTTTTATGTGATATTTAGAGTATATCATTCTGGAGTCAGTATCCTGCTCCCATACAAACCGGTCCTCGTTGACTATCTTCAAATGAAAGCGGTATACCAGCAAAGCTGCGGTCAACCGGAGAGTCTGGAGGGCCATTTCCCTTCCAAGGCATGCTCGAGGGCCCGAGCTAAATGGCTTGAACGCCTCGTGCACATCCTGGGCATAGGGACTGCCCTCGCCCCGTTCGAACCAGCGCTCCGGACGGTACTCGTCCGGGGCGTGCCAGTACTGGGGACTCCGCTGCATGGTGTACGTCTCCGTATACACTTCCGTCCCGCTAGGGACATAGAAGCCTTCGATGATTGCTCCCGGAGACCGACGGGACGCGAACTTGCCCGCCACTGCGGGCGTTAGCCGGAGCGACTCGTTGACACACCCGTTCAGGTAGGGCAGCGAGAGCAGTTTCTTCCCCGTGATCTCGTCAATGCTCTGAAAGTTGCTGAAAAGCTCCGTTTGGAGTTTCTCAAGCACTCCTGGAGTCGACAGGAGTCGGTAGAACAGCGCCGAGAGGGATGTCTCGGTCGTCTTGTAGCCGGCGATCCTAAACACGATGAATCAGCCACTGTGCCCACGCTACCCATACTGGCCTCAAGGGGCCGCTACTCACATAAGGACGGTCGCGTTACTATGCAATTCGTCATAGCTTAACTCTAGTTCTGTGGGGTTGCTGCTTTTGTCGCCCATGATATGCGTGAGAAAATCTGATCGGCCATCCTGTCGGTTAATGCAACTATAAAGATACCCTCAGTCAGCGGCGCCTTGATATGAAAAGATTGCTCCAGATCTTCCAATCATGTTGAACTTCTGGAGTAGGAATCACCACTGGAGTGGTGTTGTGTGAGAATTGATAGCAGGATGGTCATACTCCCTGAATGTGGCAGAGGGCAAAACCGCGCGCAGAGTAGCTGGGGGTACCAGCTGCAAAGCCAGCTTGAGAACTCCTTCGATTTGCGGAACGGCATAATTGATAGCTTCCAGGATGGGAAAACACCCTTGGTATACCCCAACCAGCGACCGCAGCGTGTCTGTGCGACGGCCTGCTTAGCAACACACTTCATGGATGCGGAGATGAAATAAACAAAGAGGACTCACCGTGCTTCTCTGGAACAAGAGGTTCTCCGAATGAAAGATCACCAATGAGGTCCCAGAGGAACCTCGAGAAATATTCAGTCAAATCGATCACACCCGTATCTTGCGCAAGTCCCTGCAAGAGGCGGTCCATGTGCATGCGCAGCAGGGATTCCTGTTCGAAAAGCGCCTTGGACGTAAAACCAGGCTGTAGACGCTTGCGCATCTTCTTATGCTCAGCTCGGTTCGAGAGTGAACCGATGTTGGCTGCTCCTAGTATCATTGAGAGCAGCACATCCTGAAGGGTTCCGTCTCTACCAAATAATTCATCGGAGCCGGTATGGGTTGGCTTGGCATTGTAGATCATCTTCTGAGCTTCGACGGTTGCGAATGACAGTTGATTGGGGCCAACTCGAACAATAGGGCCTGTATTCCTCGGGCACATCAGCAGGCCGCCGTAGCCCGAGAGAAGGGAGAGTATCTGACCATATTTTTTATGTAGTTCTGCCAGATCGGGGTTCAACCTCCGGCGGTACAAGCTGCTCATCGACCAGAACTATGAGAATACACAGAGTCAATTCCCTCAGAGCACGTAGGACCGGCAGCTTTTGAGTTGGACTTACCGGGAAAATCGCTCCAGTGCAAGGTCCAGGGACTCGTGCCAGGGGGTGGAAAAAGTAGTTATAGATGATCATCGAGACCAACAGCCCCGTACCCTAGCAGACAGACATTGACTCGTCATTATGAGAGAGTACATCATGAGAGGTTAGCTCATACCAGTGAACATCCCATAATCGCAACTTGTTCAAGACTGATTCCAGACATAGTCATGAGGTGCTGTGCGTCCATAATGTTGTCAAAAGGATGTGAGAGGATCTTGAGAGAGAAGATGGATGTGAATGATTGACTTCACCCAAAGTATTAGCATCAAATTAGTGGCCTCTTTCTCGGCTTCTAAGTGTGATTCCGTACTCCTAGGCTCAATAGCTAGGGATGAACAAGCTAGAAACCTGGTAATGCTGCAGGCTTCCGGATACGACTGCACATGACGTAAAGAACTTACAGCTAAGGTTTTACAGGGCACTGTGATGGCTTTAATATTAATTATAGACCCTTCGTCATGATATCACCCCTAAGGTGGATGAATGGCGTGTTGAACAGACTCGATATAATGGGTTCAGGTTTGGACGAAGTAGAGTTCTGTACAACGTTGAATAGCAACCTGACTGTAACCTTGCTTTCCGCAGACGGTCAGCAAAAGTCTATAAACTATGGCCAGTTAAGTTCTATTTCCGTCTAGGTATATATTCTCTTGTGCTTTGTTTGGTCTAGAATGCATGGCCCTCGGCAATACCACAACACTAGGTTCGTGATATCCCGTATATCCTGTTGTGATTAACCTCTTCCATGCTTTCAGAGAGAGTAAAATTGGAAAAGAACATGTAGAAGCATAAATATAAACTTTCTATTTTTGAAACTTAACTACACTATTACTACATTGATGTGCAACCTCGCCGCAAACAGATTTTCGAGTCATGTATAAATGGTTCTAGAACATCACGAAGGGTCAGCACTGGGCTGTAGGTTGTTTCGAATCTAGATGAAACCTTCACTGCCCATCTAAAATTGAATGTTTTTTTATGGATTTATAGGCCCTGGCTTTTGTAAAAGGCTCGGCAGCGCCGTGGCTAACGAGAGACCCCAGTTAGAAGCCTGTGTAACCTGAGAAACGGCGACTCAACAGTGGCTCCTTGCTTTACTGCTGTGGTTAAATACTGCTATTCCACCATTAAACCATCTTCAAAAATTCACGTCTCTCTGTACGGAATTGCCCAATCCATGGACTCTTGCACAATGGAGGTCTGGGAGCATTCCCGACCTATAGCTGATGACACAATCAAGAAGACGCCATCATTTACCACCTTACCAATCCGTATCAATAAGCAAAACGATGTCGCGGATGCAGCCACCAGGAGAGCTCTTCGGGACTGGGATTATTATCTGCACGATGGCCTGGCGGAGAGAGCACTTATCTCCATCAGTGAGCTCGGGAACCTGGGTGCTTTTGCCTACCCCGAGGTGCCACCAGAGAGGCTGGCGATTGTGACCTACTTGACCGATCTAGGGATTCTGCATGACGGTTAGTAATTAGAACAGCAATCGATGGCGTCAGAACCAGCTGACCAGGTAGTAGATGGGTACGAGGCCATGGATATGGATCAAGCAAGGACAGAACATCGTGAATTCGGTGCCCTCTTTGACCCCCATGAGCAGTTGCCATCACGCCGAGGCACCCGTGCTGCCAAGTTAAAGAAGCTAGTGTCGCAGATCTTACTTGAGGCGATACGTATTGACCGTGATATGGGTATGTACATGTTTGACATGTATAACAAAGGATGGTTGTCCGTTGCAGGAGGGGAGGGCAAGGTGCCTCAGTTTAAATCTGTGGAAGAATACCAAGCCTACAGAAGGGATGATTTCGGCATCAGGTATACCCTCACCAATGTCAATTGCCCAACTTGGACCCTCCATCAGCTAACCTAATTTAATCAATCAGGGCATTCTGGCCGATGGTGGAGTTTGGCATGGCGATGCGACTGTCGGATGAAGACAAGAAACTGATCGAGCCAGTTATGGAACCCATTGATAAGGCTATCATCTGGACCAACGATTACTGGAGCTTCGATCGGGAGTACCATGAGTCTATAACGAACGGGAGTCGACTCACTAACGTGGTAGAAGTGGTTCGTCAGATTGAGAATAAGTCTATAGATGAGGCAAAAGCCGCGGTTCGCCAGCTACTCGTCAATCTGGAACAGCAATACCTTGAGCGGAAAAGGGCAATTTATGCCCAAAACCCATCAATTCCCTCGCATTTGAGAAAATGGATTGAAGTGGTGGGAATTACCGTGGCTGGTACTCACTTTTGGGCCAGCTGCTCTCCCCGTCACCATGCCTGGCGCAATAACTCAAGAAATGGACTAAAGCCCGCCAACCATGTGGCAGCCCCAACGTTAATTACCCCCAGCAACAACCTCAATTCATCTAAGGGGTCGGAAGAGCAGATGCAAGATTCGGACAATGGCACACGTACCCAAATGTGTCCGGCAAATGACCACGAGGTCATGCAGCTGAATGCGAAATTGTCACTGGGTAAACAGGATGGCGGACATGCCATGCGGGCTGCATTAGCCCTTCTCTCAAGGGCAGCTGAACAGTGTGAGAGCTTATTCGACGGTATGGAGCACGAGAGAGCCAGGCTACTCCAATCTGGTGAGGAAAAGGCGAGGCTTTCCTGGGAAGTATGCTCTGCCTTTTACTTCTTGCACATTCTAGTGAGCATTTTTAATAAAGTGATATAGGGTCGCAGCAAAGGGTCCCAGGAGTTAGAGCATTCGTGGTACAAACCCGCAAAAACAGCTCTCCAAGCACCAATTCATTACATCTGTTCCATGCCCTCAAAGGGGGTCCGATCCAGGATGATCGAAGCGTTCAATTACTGGCTTGAGGTGGACGAGACTTCCTTGACCAAAATCCGGCGGCTTGTCGATCTCCTCCATAATGCGTCTCTGATTCTAGACGACATCGAAGACCACTCTCCCAAGCGACGAGGAAGGCCAGCCACACACACTATCTTCGGTCATTCTCAAGCGATTAACAGCGCCAATTTCATGTTTGTCCAGGCCGTTCAAGTCGCCCGCCAGTTCCGCAACCCGAACGCCGTTGATATTCTGCTCGAGGAACTGGAGAACCTTTATCTTGGGCAGAGTTGGGATCTGGACTGGAAATACAAGCTCCGATGCCCGTCACCCTCTGAGTATCTGAATATGGTCGACAACAAAACCGGGGGTCTGTTTCGTCTTCTGCTGAGACTCATGCAGGCCGAAAGGAAAGGTACCACCGAGGTTGATCTGGACGGGCTCACCGTCCTGTTTGGACGGTTCTTCCAGATTCGCGATGATTACATGAACCTCCGCTCCGGCCTATACACCGAGCAGAAAGGATTTTGCGAAGACCTCGATGAGGGCAAGTTTTCTTACCCAATTGTCGTTTGTGTTGCGAACCATGCGGACTTCAGGGACCTCATCGACGGGGTCTTCCGGCAGCGGCCTACCGCGATTACCAGCGGAATGCAGCCGCTGGCCCCCGAGATAAAACGATATGTTGTCGAATACCTCAACACCAGTGGAACATTCCAACACTGTCGGGAATTCTTGATGCAACTGGAAAGCTTGATCGAGAGTGAAATTGACCGAATTGAGAAGGTCACAAACGAGGCAAATCCAATGCTACGACTATTATTGGAGAAGCTGAGTGTGAAGGAGAATTAATTCCAGGGCAATCGCACACCTGATCTAGGGTACAAGACTAATATGAATAGCTACAAGATGCGAGTCCATCATGGTCGGTTCGGGTTCAAACTGTATGCAATGGCTTGACTTTGTCCACTCGAACTTGTGTTGATATAATTTACTGCTTACTTTGGGAATTCGTCTTACCTGCCTATTTAATGGACATCTTGCTTGCTACCGCATTATCCGCAGCCATACTTTGAGACATCTCGTAGCAGTGTACTGAGAATGTCGGCTGGTGATCCCTCTATGTGAAATTTAGAAATCCATTTCTATCTCTGACACGTCATCTAGCACTACAAGTAAGACAGAAGTCACCGAATTCAACCGATCCTCTGGACCTCTCCCTTGTTGCATAGAAATACAACAATACACACACAGAGGCACAAGGATAGAGTAGTGGCTAACATGCATATTGCCGAAAGAGTTAGAACCTTGGGGTGATGTACTAGTATGTTGGCTATTTATAGTTATGGTAACTGTCTTGAACTCTTGATGCTGCAGCGGAGTGACTGCCTCAGTCCTAGGCTGCCAACTCTCAATAGGGCATGTCTATCACGTGACTTGGGAGGCATTTGAAGACGACGGTTCAGCGAATGGTAATACTACTACTACCACTAACAAAAATAATAATAAAAGTATTCAGGGTGAGTTCCAATTTGAGATACAACTAGCACATTGTCTAAGGCGTGGTAACTTAAGCTGCAGTGCCAATGCTGATTTCTGTAGCTTAGGTTACCACAACAGCTGAGGAATTTAGGTCTAGACTGCTGTAGACTTGCATGCATTATCTCACCTAGACTGCATTCATTGCAGATTTTATTCTAATTTTACTGACAGTAGCACCTCAGTGTGGGTCTCTTTTCTGCCTTCTCGTTACACATGTAACCTTTAAGCTCATGACTCATGTGAGATTGGTTGCAGACTACTGAACAGAAATTTAGTAACAAAGATGGTGTTAAAACAAAACAAGCTTTTTCTGGCTAGGGGATAGATGTTTCCTTATTAACTCATTACATCAGTCCTATATTATCATAAATGGATTGCTGGTGTGTTTAAGGTTATGACTGAGCCATGGTAGGAATCCAGGATGATGTTACAATAGTTGAAGTCGGTCCTTTCATTACTTTCTATAAGTATGGAGATCTTCTCTTACTGGACTATTTGCAAGGTCCTCTATACTCATGTCTTGGTGATGTATGAATGAGTGATCTGTGCTGCTTGCAGCAAGCATTTAGGTCTGAACAACCTTATTTATAGTGCACTTGGTTCATCTATGGTTGTGTTCTAACTATAACTAAGTATGTAAGATATAATACTAAACAGGCCCAAGGAAGTAGTCCCACTTACTACATTAACTGCTCTGGTTACGGCATAATACATGATGGTGGCTTCGGCTGTTATAGCTCTGATAAGTTGTTTGCGTAAATGTCTCAGATATGAGACTAACTACCATTTAGGGAAGGAGTTGAAATTCCAACTCATAGTTTCAAACATGCCTTCTCTTCCGTATACTCTCTCGCTCAAATCATGCAAAAAAGGATGCCATGTCAGCCTAAATAACCCTCCTTTGGACCTCGGAGCTCAATTTCCAGCGGACTCTGCATTTCTTTCGATGGGCATTTCCATAATCTTTGCCATGTTGTGGCTGTACCCTAACGTCATAACAATGCATATCGCAATTTCCTACATCATGGTATTATTGTTTGAAAGATTGGACTTCTTGTCTGTCAGAGCCCAGATGACAGATGCCAGATGACAAACGTCAGACGTCATTGCGGACCGAAGCGAAGCATTGTCATATTGCATCCCCTTTTACCTTCCTGTCTTGGCACCTGATCGATTGTTCCAGTCCGTGAAGCAGGTGTTCTGGCATTCTCATTGGTCCTGGGACCATGAGAGCCTTCTGATTGGCTCACAAAAACCGTTGTCATGTGCTCTCAGCATGATTATGTAAGGTACATGTACACTAGTTAACGTAATCGGACACCGAGCAAGACACCCTTCAACCCCTGAAACACTGCAACCACCAAATCACCATCGGATCCAGGTTTTCATCCAATATGGCATTAAAACAAACTGATTCAACAGTCAAATTAGAAGATCGCATATTACTTGCTGTCAAAGCATATCAAAATGGCCAGTTTAAAAGTATACGAGCAGCAGCAGCAGCATATGATGTTCCACATTCCACTCTAGCCCATTAAATCAAGGGTCGAAAAGCAAGGACCGACATACCAGCAAACTGCCAGAAGCTTAGCAGTCTAGAAGAAGCTTCCCTAAAGAAATGGATTCTGGATATGGATGAGCAAGGACTACCACCAACACATGCTGCAGTTCGCAAAATGGCAGATTTACTACTCCATGAGCGAAAGGGGGAAGCAGTCAGTGAGAGATGGATCACTAGATTCATCAAACAGCATGATAAACTTATATCTAAATACACTCACAAATATGATTACCAGCATGCAAAATGCGAAGATCCGGAAGTCATTAACCAATGGTTTAATCTTGTTCAGAATACTATAGTAAAATATGGTATTCTTGAACAGGATATCTACAACTTTGATGAAACTGGCTTTCAAATGGGTGTGGCCTCTACAGCAAAGGTTATTACTGCATCTCGTCACCGAACAAGCCGTGTACGAGCCGTACAGCCAGGGAATCGCGAATGGGTGACTGTCATTGAATCTATCAATGCTTCTGGATGGTCTCTCCCCCCTATGATCATCTTCTCTGGCAAGGTCCATCAATCTCAATGGTATCAAGACATCAACCCTGATTGGGTGATTGGTCTAAGTGATAATGGATGGACCAATAATGAGCTTGGTTTATTCTGGTTAGAAAAGATCTTTGAGAAGCATACTGCAACACGCACCCTAGGAAGATATCGGCTTCTGATTCTTGATGGCCATGCTAGCCATGAATCTGCGGAGTTTGATCTTTTCTGCAAGAACCATCAAATTGTCCCTCTTTATATGCCTTCTCATTCATCTGATAAACTGCAGCCTCTTGATGTTGCCTGCTTTGCACCACTAAAAGAGGCATATGGTGCCGCGGTGATGAGAAGCATCCAGAATGGCATTCATCACATTGATAAGGAAAACTTCCTTGATCTTTATAAAGAATCACGGAAGGCCTTATCATCCAAGAATATCCGCAGTGGATTTGAAGCTTCTGGTTTAGTTCCTTTGAATCCCCAAAGGGTGCTGGATAAGCTTACTATCAAGAATATCACCCCCCCAAATACTGCTCATGGATCTCCAGAGGGTGAATAGATTGCAAAGACCCCTTATACCTCTACTGAGGTGCAAAAGCAGATGGAGCTTATCAAGCAGCTTGTCAATTGCAACTCCCAAAGTCCCCTAACTGAGGCTATCCGTCAGCTAGTGAAAGCAGCTGAAACTACTATGCATGAAGTTGTTCTATTACAGCACCAGGTAATTGAGCTTTGTGCAGTAAATGAAAGGCAAAAGCGAAAGCACGCAGCCCCTAGATCTTATATTGCTACTAGGGGTGTCTTGACAGGGTCTGAAGGTCAGCAACTTGCTCAAGAAGCTCTACAGGCTATGGACTTGGTGGAACCAGTTTGTAAAAAGCGTGCGCCACCACGATGCAGTAACTGTCATCAAATTGGTCATATTAGAATAAGCTGTCCCAGTAGAACTAGGTAATTCGAAAACTTTTGCTTTAATTTGACTGCGTGGTAGTAAGATATCTCATGGTTTTCGGCCTCGGTTAAAATCACGTTCAGGTGTCTCGCTCGGTGTCGTGTCTCGCTCGGTGTCCGATTACGTTAGTTAGTTATACTTTTTAGGGGGGCCTGGGGCCTCTAGAGTATCTATCATAGTATTTCAGAGTCATAATATATAATAAAAGGGGAGTCTGGGGTCCTGCCCCCAGGTTACTACTATCTTTCTCCCTTATAACTTATGCCCCTCTCTCTAACAGTCTAACAGTCTAACCTTCTGGATCTAATCATCTACTACCAACCATACCCAACTAAGCTACCTAGCATCTAATCAATAGTTAAGTGACTTAGTTAAATATCTCCTGCTCAGCATACCGCTTGCTCCCCAGGCCTTAGGTGGTTGCACGGTTGCACCAGCTACACCTAGTACAAATCTGAGAACCCTCTTAGGCCTATCAAACTCTCGATTCGTCTCATTACGAAAAGCTGCCTGAACTGCCAAAAAGCTGCGACAGATGTTTGGGGCGGGCTCTGCTATGGTGACATCAGACAGAACATATCAAAGGCGCCTTCAATTATGAAAGAGTCAAAGTACATGGAGCCAAGTCTTGGGAAAGCCAGGGTAACACAGAAGGAGGATGGGGATTTGGCGGAAGTAGAACATGATTGGTGAATGACAACTTATTTTCAATGGATTCCACTGTAGAATATGTCTGTATCTATACTGTAGCCACCCAGGGAACTGAGTATAAAGATTATGGACGTAGATCATGGTAGCTGAAGTTCAAGACCTGCTTCAAGCTGCGTAATCAGGAATGTTTTCGATTTGGGAGATCCAAGGCTAAGAATCCAGGGCCGGAAGATTTGGTCGTTTCGCAAATGTCAATTTCCATCGTGGCATGCGTTTTACGATGTCCAGCCAGGTGACTACTGCCAAGGAACCGTGACAGCTTATGGCAACTTTACATTGAGTCAATTCTATCAATGGAATCCGTAAGTAAATTATATTTGTCATTCTAGATGGACTACTTATAATTTGCATCTAAGTGCTGTCAAGACCGACTGCTCGGGACTTCAGGCTGGCTATTATGTCTGCATCGGAGTGGCTGGGTCAACGACCACGACAACTGCTGCTCCCACAAGTACCACTGCCACGACGACAGCTAACCCACACTCTCCTCAGCAGACTGGGATTGCTGCAAACTGTATGTTTGTCATTGGCTAACTCAATTGTGTTTGTCTTCGCTTATCATTCTTGCAGGTAACAAGTACTACTTTGTAGAAACTGGTGACGGTTGTTCCAACATAGCTTCGACGTATGGTATCACCCTCGCCAATTTCTACAGCTGGAACCCAGCTGTTGGGACATTTTGTCAGAGCCTTCAGGCTGGGTACTATGTCTGCGTTGGTGTTTCAGGTAGCTCTCTCTTCTCCCACCTCCCCCCAATCTCTTCATCACCAACCTAATTTGGTCTGATAGGGTCAACCACAAGCACAACCACTACAAGGACCACCACCACCACCAAAGCACCCACCACAACAACTACGGCCAGCGGTCCCTCTCCGACCCAACCCGGCATCACGGCCGACTGTGAGACATTCTACCAGGCCGTTTCGGGCGACAGCTGCTGGACCATCGTCAGCGAGAAATATACCTATCTGACTCAGGATGAGTTCTAGCCTGGAATCCTGCCGTCGGTTCAACTTGTAGTAACCTACAAGCGGGATACTACTACTGTGTTGCTACCAAGACTGTCCATGCCATGCCTAGCACCATCTCCACGTGCAAGAAGTGGCACTTGGTTGCCAGTGGAGACAGCTGTTGGTCTATTGAGCAGCAGTACGGCATTACTGCTACCCAGTTTGGGACCTTGAATCCATATGTTGGGACCTCTTGTGCATCTCTCTGGCTGGGTTACTATGTTTGCGTCGGTGTTTGAAGACCACCACTTTATCGGACGGCATGTAACAAGTAGCCTTGAAGAATTTCTTGTAACGAGGAGGAGATTCTAAGGGGGTGAAAGGCGACTTGTCTTAGTAGGCTAATTCGAGATTAGTGAGATCCATGAAATTAATTACTACATTCCAGAACATACCAAAAACCCTTGTTATTGATAAGTTTTAATGCATAACAAGTGGTGCCATGTCGGTTGCACTATGAGATACCCTGGACTTGAACGCCACCTGAAAATTACAGCCACTCCGTTACAACCGACGATAATGCCTAGTAATAATTACCCAAATCAAGCTAAGGATTCTTCCGGTATTGCCTTTTCCCCAGGCCCAAGCCATTTGGCACTTTCCTTTGGCCCAAACTCCTTTTCGGTGAGATTTCCTAGCACTTCCCACCTGCTCTCATCAACTGCATTGCCTCCATGTCTCTTGTCCAGCTACCAGATGAACTTCTGTGTAGTATTGGAGGATATTTAAGCTGTTATAGAGATGTTCAGGCTCTCGTCTTATCAAATTGTCGACTCAATAGGATCTTCAAAGCTATCCTCATTACATCTAGCGTTAAGGATTGCCACGGATCTCTGTTATTCTGTGCAGTGCAAGGTGGAGATATTTGCCTCGTACGGGAGATTCTGAAACAGCTATCTGTGATTAATAAAAAGCGAGAAGAAACGGCTTCTATGGAAGAAAGCCCTATAACAAACACCCAAGATAATACCGACGAGGAAGATGGAGCTCGAGACTGGGATGGAACGCTGCACTGGGATCTCCAACAGCACCCGCTCTATAAAGAAGGGTATCGAGTCCGTGACATCCTTTTCGTCCAGCGTGCCTTTCTCGCTTCCATCTCAACTGGATTAAAGAATCTCGTCAATTGTTTTCTTGATTGCGGAGCGGTAGCAGGATTTATCTTCCCTGATAATGAAAAACATCCACTACCTGTTTCTCTCGCGATCAGACACGGCTATGATGAGATATTCGATTTACTTATCAAGCACAAGGCGCGGACATGTGGCGGAGATGAGTGTCCCATTGTTGAGGCCGTCAAATATCACCGTTTTCATGAGCTTCGCGTCCTGGTCAGACTTGGAGTATGCGGGCACTGGGACGACGCGCTTTCCCTTGCGTTAGATACTCGGCCCCTGTTCGATCTTATGGTGGAAAACGGAGTCGAAATCAAGAAGTATGGTCATGTGGCTCTATACGGAGCTATTACTGAAGGGAAGAAAGACTGGGTTGAGTTCCTCATCTCTGAAGGTGCTGACCCCAACCTCTGCCTATCGACGGAAAGCGTTATTGGAGGCGGAGAGAAGAAGTATAGCTCTATCTACCATGCCATACTTAATGGTCATTTGGACGTATGCAAATTTCTGATTGAGCATGGCGTACTGCCTGAGGAGGATGATCTTCAACTGGCGCGGGAGAAGGAATACGATGAAATTGTGGGTATTCTCTCTGGGTTTTCCTATGTAGATGTGCCTGAAAAGGAGGACCTCATTACAAGGTGGATAAACACCCATAGCTAAATAGGGGAAAGGAGCTCTGCTTTGGATTCCTACTTTTGAAGGCTATTCTGGCTGCGCTGACCTGTACCCCTGAAATACTAAGTCTGAAACCATTCCTGCCTGGCTACAACTAAGCAATGGCAGGGTGCCAACCCATCAAGCCTATGGGACCCGCTTATACCTTTGATCTTTAAGCCGACGAGCGGGGCAAAAGTGTTCGGAACTTGCGAAGTGAGGCGTGGCCCAGGCCCTAACTACTGCTGCATAAAAGCCGCTAGATTTTCCTAGATCGTTGGGATACGATTCCTTCTCCAACAAGGGCAGTGGATGTCCAGGCAGTGCCTGGACGAGTCTGCCCAGCGCCACAAGCGCCTGTCTCCACGCCAAGTACTCTTCGCTTCCTGCACTCGTCAATGAAAACAGCGTTGTGTTCACGACTTATCGGAAAGAAGAAACGACGACGAGGACCCCTTCGGCGAAAACACCCTGGAGCAGTTACAAACGTGCAAGGACGATCTTGCCGCCTGCAAAATCAACGAGGAGAAACTGGCCGAGTGCCAAAGCAATGCCGCCGCCAGCCCTCCAGTGCCCCCTTACAAGGATTGCCCAGCCGGGAAAGACCAGATCATCGCCATCGGAAACAGGCCCTTCAAGCAGAAATCCGACATGTCGATGGCCAAGGCCGCGGCGGACTTCTACCGGACTATTCGACCGGGACTTACGAAGAGTGCGCTGTGATCTGTGCGCTTGACCCGAAATGCAAGAGCGCGATGTCCGTCAGGTCGACCAGTACGGCCGTCGAATGCCAGCTCTCCAGCCAGAATATTGAGGCCTCGCTGGCCAATTGGGCATCAAACCGGGCTTATGTTCCTGTGTGAGTCTCATGCACTTGATGAAGAGGGAAACTGCTTTGCGAGTTACCCCCGGCTTGGGTCGGCTGTCTGTCGTTCATTTGCATGTCTCTACCTGATATATCAGTTTCCAATCAAACATGTGGTCAAAATAGCCCAGTACACCACCCTCTGGACCTTCTGTAGAAAAGGAAAAGGCCTTCAGCGAGGACGTGCCCATAACGGTAGCCATCAAGTCCAATGCAGAGCCATACATCTATAGTTCAATAGGAGAATCCCAGCCCGGTGCGTCAACATCACGAGAGGAGGTCCTATTCAAAAGCCACAATATCCAGCCATATAGTCCCAAAAAAGTCCGGGTTTGTGCCTAGTTTGTCCAAGGTCAAGATGGCTATCCATGCTGTGCAAGGCCATTGACGTCTACCTTAGTTACTGGCACTATAAACTGGTATCGGTATATCCTATAAGAAGAAGACACTCGGGTATATATTATACAAATAACATGGTAGTTATTATCACCTCCACTCCAGACCGATCTTTCGCGCAACCTTTTCAGCAACATCCATAAAAGCCTTGCGCCTTACGCTGCGGTCATCACTTTCCTCTGAAACAACCGTAGGCACTCCGCGGTCAGCGTCCTCGCAGACTTTAGCATCGAGAGGGATATCCCCGAGGAATTCGACGCCTAGGCGCTTGCACTCGGCAACCACGCCCGAGTCCTCCGAGTCATGGCCATGACTTTCACCATGGGAAAAGATTTTCGTTTGATGACCGCACTGCGGGCAGGCAAAGTAGGCCATGTTGCGAACCATCCCAAGGACAGGGATGTTCATTTTCTCGAACATACCAAAGCCGCGGACGGCGTCCCGCAGAGCGATATCCTGTGGCGTGGTTACAATCAGGGCGCCATCAACGATGAGCTCTTGTCCGATTGTTAATTGTACGTCGCCGGTGCCGGGGGGCAGGTCCAGGACCAGCACATCCAGAGGCCCCCAGGAGACGGAATGGAGAAGTTGGTGCATGGCCTTGGTGACCATCAGACCACGCCATGAGATAGGAGTGGTGTCCATGGGAATGTTGCCTGCAGGTTGCGACGGATCAGGTTTTGGCTGTGGGAGGAGGTAGCCCATTGACATTGATTTCAAGCCATAGTTAGTCAGAGGGACGAGGCAGTTGTCTAGTTCACCCATTAGCCTTGCGTCCAAAAGCATGTGCCTCTAATGACAGTTCTTACTCTCGTCTAAGCGGGGTTCACCAGACAAGTTGAGAAGAGTTGGAATAGAGGGACCAAAGATATCGGTATCCAAGATACCTGTGCGAATCCCACGGCGAGCTAAAGACAAAGCAAGATTGACTGGCGCAGAAAAGTCAGAGAACTGTTGAAATATCATGCATGTAAACTGCTGATATGAGATATCGGGATGGCATCCAAGACAATAGTTTCATACCTGCAATGGTAGATTTGCCCACACCACCCTTGGCTGACGATACCGCAATCACTTTTTTGACATCGCGGATCTTGCGCTTTTCTGGTAACCCCCGGCGGCGCGGGAATGACGGTGGTGTGCCGGATCGCGGAAGACCCTGCAAGCATTAATATTCACAATCAGCAAAGTCGTCAAAGGGGCTATTTACCAAAGGATTTTCATGTTGAAGAGCTCGAAGAGCCGAAAATAGTCTTTTTTGTAACATATTGCTGTGGATGACAGCTACAACATTGCAGAGAGGAGCAACAATCGACATCATATACTGCCAGAGAAAAGTACACCGCCTGGAACAACATTCCCAATCGGACCAGCTCAATCCCCAAAATGGAGAGTTTATCCGATATCGCATTCCGCCTTCCAGAAAAATATCACGGGCAGAAAAAATAAAAAAAATGAGTCCGACCAAAATTTATCGACAACAACCTCCACGCCAACAACTTGTCCACGGCGCAAAATGGCGCCAAAAACACTTGCAGAACGGCTCGCGGAGCTGGAAGACCCTACACCTAAAGGTCTGTTCGGGATTAATTGGTTGTCTTGTTTAAATGAAGGTTAACACTGCGATCAGATTTCGACCCCGAAGACTTGGAGCGCGCCGGGCCAGACAGTGACGATGAAGGTGCCGAAGCTGCTGATCCTAATGCTGGACGAGAGCATTACCAAGCTGTAGGGTGAGTACGAACTTTTTGACCGTTTGCGATCATCGGGATCAAGGTGTTAACCTCAACCAGAAAGGCGAGGCTTCGCAAGCAGGACCCAATTAACCTCGGAAAACAATATGCCGGCTCGAAAATCAGCCGAGACGCGCTTGAAGCGGAGAGTGATGATGACCCTTTCAGAGCACGATCAAGCGACGAGGAGGAGGACAGTGAAGACGCGGAAGAGGAGGATTCTGAGCTGGGAAGCGACGAGGACGAAGATGCATCTGAAGAAAGCGAAGAAGAGCGACCACGGAAATCCAAGAGCTCCGCAAAGGATGGCAAGCGGCAGACGAGGGAGTTAGAGGTTTCCTCGGACGAGGAGGACGGCGAGGGCATGGATACCGACGGGTCTGAAGAGATTGAAGGAAGCGCGGACGATTCGGAAGATGGATTCGACGAGGATGACATGGGCGGAGAATTTTCCTCTGACGACGATGACGATGATGAAGACGAGGACGAGGACGAGGACGAGGAATCCGACAACCGAAAAGTGCGATCTAAGGAAACCTCCAAATCCGATGACCGCGAGGAATTGCGACGACTCATGTCCTCCGACCAAAAAAAGATCGCAGCCACCATTTCCCAAGCCGCCAAAGCAGACGCTGCCAAGGGCAGAGCCGTCAAACAGCAGCGCGCAACTTTCGACGCCTTGCTCAACGCACGGATCAAACTCCAAAAGGGCCTGACAGCGATCAACCAGCTCTCCATCACCGCAAAGGGGAGCGAGGAAACGCCCAACATCGACGGCGAAGCCATCAAGTCCGCCGAATCCGCCGCACTTGCGCTTTGGTCCACCCTCGAAGACCTGCGCCTCGCTTTGGCAGACGCACAAACGCAGGACGAGTCCAAGAAACGCAAGCGACCTTCCGCAGTGTCCGTCGCGACATCCACCGATTCCCTCTGGAAGCGCATGACCGACCTCGAGTCCGACGCCGTCGCCCACCGCCGCGCCGTGCTCGACAAGTGGTCCCTCAAGGTCCGTGGGTCCAGCGCCGCACTCCCCAACGCCCGAGGAAAACTCCTCGGCGCTAGCGCCAGTAGTCAACAAACCATCACCGCCGTCATCGACGCGCAGGTCGCTTCGGAGACGGGCGACCGCGCCGCCAAGCGCCGGAGAAATTCCTCCGACGAGGGTCCCGAACCCGTCTACGACGACACCATCTTCTACCAGTCCCTGCTCCGGGACCTCGTCGAGCAGCGCATGTCGTCCTCTGACGCCATCACGAACGGCATCGACACCCTCCACCTCCAGCTGCCTTCCCGGCAAGGTATCCACCCTATTACCGGCATGCGCAAGGACAAGGTCAAACGCGACGTGGACACCCGCGCCTCCAAGGGCCGAAAGATGCGGTTCGATGTCCACGAGAAGCTGCAGAACTTCATGGCGCCTGAAGACCGCGGCTCGTGGACCACTACCGCTCGCGAGGAGTTCTTCGCCTCCCTGCTTGGAAAGACGGCAAGTGGGTTATTGCGCGAAGGGGACGATGAGGACGCCAGTGCTGCAGAGGAAAGTGATGAGGATCGTGAGGAGGTTGGATTGCGGCTGTTCCGCAGCTAGCCGGCTGCCGGTCAGTGGATATACCTAGGGCAATCAAAAGTTGCATATAGCGGTTACACATTGTTTATACATATAGCGGCGTTGTGTCCACTGTTTTCATTCACTACAGGAACCAGCAGCGCTTTGCACAGAGCCTCCTGTTGAATGCATATTAAGAGTAAATATTATCTCAATTCCCATGGCAAGGTGCAACCAACCAGCCCGTAGGCTCATAAGCGAACGCATCAATGCTCTGAACCGAGCACGCTTCAAGAAAGGTATGTACAAGAATGCCAGACGCCAATGTGTGCTGTACAATGCAAGATAGTCAACTTTAACGCCTAATCCTCAACTCCGAATCCGAGACTTTCGAGATCAAACCCAATGGACTACTGGTATCTCGCAGACGAATAAGACGGTAACGAAGGGCCATGCGATTGCGCCCAGGAAAAGGTCGTTCGGCGCGGAAGCCCCAGCATCCTCTCCTCGACTGCGCGCCTCAATGAAACCTGTCGTTCCTCCTCCTCCTGCGGCGAGAGGAAGTGCGGGAGGCCTTCGTGGTTGACGATCACGGCACCGCTCACTTCGTTGTAGGAGGGTAAAGTAGTAGATATCCCGAGCATTCTCGCTTGAACGGTGCGTTCCAGAGCAGAACGTAGCTCTCGTGCCTCGGGTACAGTAGAGAGGTGCGCTATTGTTCCTGCGCTTCGCGCGGAGTTCTGCCGTTGGGTCTCCATGTAGAGGAGGTTGTCTTTTTCAGTAGGTGATAGTGCGTAATTGAAGTACTCTAAGATTTGTGGTGGGTTGAGATCCGCCCGTGGCTCAATGTCCTGCCAGGTGAAGGCTGGTTCTTGGTCTGAGGGGTCAACGCCGGGTTCTATAAAGGCGTGAGTGTCTCGTGGGGATTGGTCGGGGTCGGTTTTGGATGCGTTGGCAGGCTGAGCATGAAGTCTGCAGAGTGCATCGTACTTCTCTGTCATATACTCGTCTGCATGCCAGTTGTTTTCGGGGTTGTTGTTTTGTGTGGACAACAATGGAAGTGCTTGGGTTAATCCCCGCATTTTTGGGGCTTCCGGATGCGGAGATGGCTCGACGATGTTGTTGTCATCGCGACGGCGGCGACGGCGTAATTTTCTCAGGAAAGACGGAGCCATGGCTGGTACGCAGGCTCAGATTTGATCTCTGAGTTGCGAATTAGAGGGAGGAGAGAGGTCGAGTTCAACTGCAGGAAGTGCAGAAAACCATACTGAACGAGCAATATCATTCACTGTTGTTCCCATTGGCTGCTGCCAAGATCGTCGGTCCCTGAGCGCAACCTCATAATGGACGGAAGAGTCAGGTGCCACCAACTGTTGCAATTCGCTTGCATCCGAGGGTGGAATTAGGCGACTACTAGTCTAGTCAATTCTGGAAAGACGGGGTACTACTTCCTCGGCCGTTGTCGGACAAAACGGCACATGTGAGTATACAGTGAGATCATGGCAAAGCTTAACAAGTCCGATGGCTACACGTGGTGAAGAGCCATCGCTTATCGGACTTTCATGCATGCATATCGATTTGCACTCACACAGACCACATCTGATTGCACGGCAGTTGTGTTTCAAATTCTCAAGCTTCCAGTAAAAGCCAACGTCGATCCTTTGTACAGTTGTACCACCAGATAAGCGTATTTTGGCGTCTCCACACTCTACGGATTGGTGGCCTGGAATCAGGATTTCCAATAGGATTAGTTCCATCCAAATGTCTCATGCTCCGATGCGCAATGAAGCACTGCATGAATTGTACGAACATGGTATTCCCTGCCATCATGTGTCCACTTCTATACCCAACGCAAGGTTGGACTGGTAATCCGATAAGGTATAGAAGCCCAAATTGACTGACTGTGCGCATGGTAGCTGAGCATATCAACGCGTCTGATTGGGCTTCGGACTTCGTTTGTGAAACCTATGAGCATGCCAACTGGTCAGTGGGCTCCCTTAAGGCCTTAAGGATCTGAGCGGGACTCCCGCCAGCCCTTCCCTTCCCTTGCCATGTCGTTTCATCCGACGACCTCAGAAAAGGTGAGACGTCGACTGAGTCTCTCTAGCAGAACAAGTGGCGCAAATAGTTGTGGCGGTGATGGTTGACCTCGTTGATTGGAATGTTGTTTGCCTGCCCGTGGGTCATTGATTTGATATCACGATCCCACGAACTAGCTGCAGCAAACAAACCACTTGTTCAGCATCTCCCAGAGGGAATATTATGAGGATTCGATTATTGAATATTTCATTCGCGGTCGCAAGAAATTACACTTTCCGGCCTCCCTACCGCCAATTGCATAATCGAATCCTTCCAGGGACTGCCATCAAGCCACATCCCCTACTTTACTGTACAGTTGTACTTACAGAAAAGCGATGGTACTGGTGAGAAGATTCGCTCGGAGCTCTACTTTGGACATGCTGCTTATCGTCATATTTTACAGTAATTGAAGCCAGTGAAGAAGACTTTTACCGATATACTACCAAGCGATGGCTGTATATCGGCGAATAATACTGCTCTTGATTATTTATTGACTCAAAGCAGATCAAGCGACACTCAGGGAGCTCTGCATAGATATCAGCATTTCAATCCAGGAGCTTCTTGCTGCCGCCACCCCTCGAGCCCTGTTGGAATTGAGTACATCATCATGGAAAAGGCAAAAGGGACTGCCCTCGCCGATTTCTGGCATGGACTCCCCAGCTCGTCCAAGCACAAATTCATGGGCAGGCGGTGGAATTGGAAGCGAAGTTAGTGTCGGTGCCGTTCTCAGTATAGGTTTGCATATACTACACACAAGATCTACCCATAGCATATTCGAGAAATCAACTCTCGCGGTGTGGAGACGATTTGAATAAATTCTGCATCGGGCCAGTGGTAGACCCTATCTTCTGGTATGATGGCTGCGCCGAGATGGGGTGTTGGAGTCCTTGTGTGACGTGTCTCACATCTTCCCAAACTCATTATATCACTTCTGACTTTTGTGTATATGATAGGGTCCACCTTTCGATTATACAGCAAGTATGGGTATCAACGAGAGGATATGGGCAATGCACCATGCACAATATTACCGAAGCAACACCGATCCCGAGATGCCTAGCGAATACGTGGACCTCATCGAGAAGTACCTGCTAGTCGTTCCACACCTAACACAACATAAGTCCAATTCTGCGGACCTTTTGCAGCCAACATTATGGCAAACGACCTCCATCTCAACACCGTCTACCAGGATCGCCCTGAAGAAGCGTGATCATTGGTGAGTGTCAACTTTGTTTTCAGTATGCACGAGGAGAGAACATTATGAGATTCATCACTGGTGCCTCACGGGAGATCTGACATTGAGGATGACTTCGCATATACTCGCTCCGCTACAGAAAGAGGTCCTGGAGGTTATGACATTTGAAGATTAGGTGCATACAGACTACTAACACAACCAGATCACAGACGCAAAGGCGAAGTGGACAGTACAGTTAGTCATCGACCAGTTCATTTTTCCATTGCTCTCTCAGTGAGTCTATCAAATGGGACGTATTCCAGCCAGTCTTTAATTCCATATACTGCAGTAGCTCTTCAGCGGCTTCCTGATCTAGTTTATGCCGTAGGATCCAACCCCCTGAAAGATCAGTTCTATGACAGAGCAAGCGAAAACATGGCAAGCATAACTCACAAGCCACTAAACTATGCCGTGCAGTGAAAAGTGTATTTTCAGCTCTAGGGTTTGACGCAGCTAGGCCTAGCACGTTGAGAAGATGGCTTCTGACATGTTTCTGACTAAATTAGTCCTTGGTTCCATGTGGAAATTCAATGTTGACCTACTTCAACGTCCCGTGAGCGTTGCAGGCTTTCGTATGGGAGAGACGGTCTCGAACAACCAGACAAAGCAAGTATAATCTTTGCGATGTGGTAGTATTGTAAACCGACAACTGCGTTGGGTCAGCGAGCACGCTCATACCAGGGGGTGTACATACCATGGACTGGCAATAGCGTCCAGATAGTTGGGAATCGTCGATCAGACTCTTTTCCTCGAGGGACAAAATGGACAGGCTGAAATGTCTGCGGTTTGGACGCATTCCAATCGTCGACTTCCTTCTCTAGAGCCTTCAATGAAGCGTAAGAACGTCTCGTTCGGCTCTCCTCGTTGAAAGCGCAGCTCAAAATTCTGGCCAACAGAAAGACCATCCGGTTGGACCACGCAAAGTCGTCGGTTCTGGTGAAGACATCCGAGCGCTCAAAGCTCTGTAGGTTCGTCCGCAATGGCGATTGTGACGTGAGTGATATGTACATGTCCTCGCGAAGGCACAGCCAGGCGGCTGCTTCACCTAATCCTCCAGAGGAGCCAAAGGAGGACATTGTATTCAAAATATGTGTCGTTCCCGTTAAATGGAACTGATTGTCCTGGGCTAGTGCTATAAGCAGGTGGTAGCTAGTTATCTGGGAGAACTTACGATCCATTTCTTCATTCTGACGGAGAATTGCAATGGCTGCTAGTAATTCCTCGCTAATCTCATTCTCATTGCACGACAGTGTTGGAATAAGAAGCTCAAGGCATTCGTTGTGATACTTCAATGACTCTGTGTCGCCGTCCCGTCTTTGTCTGTTGATATGCCGGGACGAAAAGGCGAGGATTGCCGCGCGTAATACTGGCTCATGGAGAGCTCGCGCTGGAGCGACCATTTCAAAATGCCTTTGAGGGTCTGTAATGTCGGTCTATAGTATGTTAGCCTTCCTCAATCAAAGAAAGAGCTCAGCAGAAGGAACACAAATATCATTAGGAACACCGACCCACAACGCCATATTGTCAACGAAATTGCGGAAGAGGACAGCCTCTCTTGGACTAAGAGAGGTATAATGTGTTTGTGAGCTCGCAAAATCACTAAAACTAGTCGAGTTGCGACGCAGCTCTGCTGTACATTCAGCACCCGGAGATCCGTGCTGAGCGATGAAACTCCCTATACCCAGCGCTGCTTTAGTCACGATCAGCACCATGAATGTATTGGAGCAAGATCGGCCCACGCAAGGGAATGTACCATAGGTTGGTCTGCTGGCAGGAGTAGAACTCTGTTGTGTCACGGGTGTGTCCTCTTCGGGAAGTGTCTGATATCGTCTCTGTTCGCGGACATCCGACCCTGGCAGACCGCAGTGGCTGCCGTCTGAGTAGCCTGTATCATGGCTCGTTTGAGAAGGTGATGAATTGCCCTCTACGTAAAGACTTTCAATCTCACGCGTCTCATCGTAGAATCGGACTTTTCACCATGCAAGTCAGAATCGAATCAAAGAGTGACGGGATTGACTTACCGGGCCCTGTCAAAGATGGCCATGCTGCCTTTTCAGGGAACGTAACGTTTTGCTCCTTGACAAAGTCTAGACCGTTTCGAAAGCGAATGTTAAGAAATCGCTCGCAAATTTCACCGGCATTTCTGCAGTTGTCGCAGGCCGGTGTTTTCTTGTCGCCTATTAAACTAGATATATGAGTTCGCAGCTTCTTCCAATACCGGTGTACGTACATCTTAGATGACGAGCTGTCGAGATCCAGTCAGCATGTCGAATACAATAACCAGGTTATGTTGCCTGTCGTCTGCACCAATTTGATCAGCACTCACCCCTACATCTGTGGCTAAGCAAGTTGTCAGCAAGTCATGGTCATCGTACGAGCAAGAAAACTTCAGTGGACATACCAGCCAGCAATCAATCGACTCCTTTTCTTCGAAGTTGCCATTGTCTTGCACTTTCTCTTGCCTGATGAAAGAAGCAAGTGGAGAGACGGAAAGACTTGCCCTGTAAGTCCCTACCCCGCACCACCCGCCAGAACTTCCCCGCACCTCCCCTGGTACCTTGAAATTTGAATACTCCGACAATCACAAAGAACGAGGTATCACGACTCCCTTGATATGAAATTAAAATAAAGGATACGATCAAGTTGTCAACTCCAGCGGAGCTACCGACGGATCCATCCATTCCCCGCAGAGAGGCGACCTTCATACATATTTTCTCCAAACCTCTGCCAAAAATACATTTCATCCTTTAGAATGGCTCAAACCAAGAGCCAGGTCATCTACGCGCCTTCAGAGGATGCTCCCCGCGGCGTAAAGTCCGTCTTTCTCGCCGGCACCACCAACAAAGTCGACCCGAGCGACTGGCGCGAGACCCTATCCACTTCCCTCTCAGGCCTGCCAGTCACGATATACAATCCTTACCGTCCTGATTGGGATAGCTCGTGGCGTGAGGACATTGATTTCCCTCCTTACCGAGAGCAGGTGGAGTGGGAGCTCGACAAGCAGGACAAAGCCGACATTGTCGTTATTTATTTCCATCCGGCTACCCAGGCGCCGGTCAGTTTGCTAGAGCTTGGAATCTGTGCGCGGGTCCCCGGGAAGGTTATTGTTGTCTGTCCTGAGGGATACTGGAAGAGGGGGAATGTGCAGATTGTGTGCAAGAAATACGAAGTTGAAATGGTGGACAATGTTGATGCGCTGAGGGACGCCATTATGAAGAGGTTGCCTGTTCGTTCGTGACTTTTCCTTTCAAGATTTGATGAATTCTTAGACCGTCCCAAGAAATTCAGGTAGTTTAATACTGCAATACTATCTATTTCGGAGTGATGGCGATGTTGTGAGAGTATAATGCTCATCCTGTTCCCGACAAGTCGTCATCAACGCTGGGTTCGGATTCCATCCCGGGTTTGGAAGCGTCCTAGTGGAAGGCTAGGAGAGAGGAAGAAGGCCAGAGGCAAGGAGACATATATAATTCATGTGAGTTCTTCAATTCCGTTTGTCAGATACGGAGTGGTATATGGGCTAACTGCGTAGACATCCGGAGTCTCCAACATTGCGGACCTGCCTCTAAGAGGTAGATTCATCAAGACGCGAATCTTCAGTGACAAGGTGACATCTACGCATACGAGGAAGGTCGAGAGTCGCAGGTACCCTACCCCCAGCGTACAACCGAGCTGACCATCATCAACACCGCGGATGATCTCAATGTTAAAGCCTACGTTGTATTCAATCCCATCATTTATGGTATTGGATTGGGACACTTTAACAAGTTCTCTTTCCAGATTCCGCTTCTCATCAGAAAGTCCTTGCTCGCAAGCAGGCTATTGTGGTGGGCAAGGGAGACGGGATCTGGGGACATGTCCATATTGAGGATTTGGTGGACCTGTATCTCCTTATTCTGGAGAAGATAGTCGGTTCAGAAACGACAGAAGTTCCGGTCAACAGAAACGAGATTTACTGCTCCGAGGCCGGGGAGACCACTTTCCTTGATATCTCGCGAGAGATTGCGGAGGGGAAGGGTCTTGGTGTCTTTCAGACGGATGAGGTAAGGAGTCTGTCGTTGAAGAGGGAGCAGAGGCAATTGGGTTCGACGAGGCGGTGGTGGAGTTGGCTTTTGCATCCAAGTGAGATATTCTTTGCTATTATCCCGACAATACATGCTAACGTGTCTATGCAGTGCTCGCACCAAGTCGGAGCGTGCTCAGGAACTGTTTGGTTGGACGCCCAAGAGGACGGTCGAGGATTTCAAAAAGAGTATTCATGATGAGTTCAAGGCCCTTTACCAGGGGAAATGATGCTCACTTGAAGTTTGAGGAAGGCGGTGGATAATAAGAACCTACTGTTGATTCTGGTGATGCAAAGATCAAGATTTAGAGCGCTGATTTACTTCATGCCTTAGGTTATGTTCCAACTTTTGATTGCTAAGTACGTCTCTAAACCAATGGTCCTGCATTATTTGCTCGATCTCCAGTCAGTAGATCGCACTGCTACTTAGCACAAATACACTATTAAACCAGGGACCATTGTCAAGCGTGCGGCTTTTATTGGTTCTTCCCATATCTAAGTACTCCTCAGAATTGTGATTCAACTATAGCCTTGCCGTAAGCCGCAGTCTACTGCATTCTGCATGCGCCTGTGCATGCGTCACCGGCCATGGCCATTGCTAGTAGCCTCCGGAGTGGGAGCAGCCAGCCCCGACTGAGGTACTGCAGATTCAGATGCATCTCGAGCAATACTTGCCTCAGCCATCCCAGTAGGCTGGGGTGCCAGCCCACCGATCAGCGGAACCAAGCTGACCGGCGGAATGTACCACGAGCGGTGGCATTCCGTCCACCGGGGATCAATCTGAGTCATCACGTCCGGGATCTCCATCCAGGGGAGGTAATCGTTGCGGATCATGCTGCAGACATCTCCGCCCTTGACACATTGGGATCCACCGCGGTACTGGTCCCATGGGATCAGCGGCAAAGAATAGTTCCCAACGACATGCGGCTGGAACTCGGCAAAGTCGAACGGGTAGGCTGTGCCGATTCTTGGATATTTCGCATTGAGGTGGTTACGGTAGGATGTCACGGCTTCTGGGTTGACGGAGATAATCACGTCTTCGTAGTCGCCGCCGCAGGAGCCACCTGGGTGCGCGCGCTGGTTGCTACGCGCGTAGATGCTGGTGAAGGATACATAGATACTTGGGGATATGAAGGTATGGCCGTTCACAACTGCAGTGTTGGGGCCGTTTCCAGTGGGGGTGGCAGGTACGGTGGTTCCGTTCTGGTGACAGAGATCACCGCCGGTAGTGGTCACCGGCCAGTAGAAGAGGGTTGCTGTGTCTGGGAGATAATGGCAGTTGGTGCAGGGGTCCTGCACTGTGTAGTTCCTTTTTGTCGTGGGGCATTGTCTTGGGCGGATGGGGCTGTTTGTGTCTCCTGGAATTTCCGTTGTTACTGACTCCTGGTAGATGGAGCGAAGACTGCTGTAGGTCTGCCAGATGGGGATGCAATCCTGCGTATTCAGCTCACAGGTGGGAACAGGGGAGGGCGATCGGTACAGCAGAGTGGTGTCAGACTCGGTTAACATCGATGTACTGCAAGGGCCTGTGCCGGGCCAGTAGTTGGTGACATACTCCAGAGGGCCAATAGCACGGGTGATTCCATCGCACAGAGTGGTGACGGGGCCAGTGTGCGGATCTCCTGGGCCCTCACGCCGGACGTCTGTGTTGCACGCCCCGGTGCTGGTGGGAGAAATCCAGTATGAGGTCGAAGTGGAAGTCGCTCCCAGTGAGGCAAGTCCATCCGCTCGGCCATTGTATTCGACCCATTGGGCATTGCAGATGACAGCAGATGCCCCAGGACCTGTGGTCGGGCCGTAGAAGTAGTCTGTTGAGGTAGGCCAGAACACCGTGGTGTTACATGTGCTTAGCCACTGGCTGCTCACAGACGAGGTGGCGCATGTGTCAGTAGGAGCTGTGGGAGTAGGCGTCGGGCTTGTATCATCTCTTGGTATAACTGCAAAGGTCTATTAATGACTGCAATGATGAATGATGGGGGAGCATACCTGGTTTCCCGAACGCCAGACCAAGGAGGAGAAATGTTGCACTAAGCAGCATTTTGTGTCTGATAGACTGAAATTAAAGTAAGTATAAAGTGCAAGTGAGGGAACCTAATCCTGAGGTGTCACCATTGGTGAATTTATACCTTTCGAGAGGACTGTATAAACGTCAATCTCCAAATCATGACTGATTTGGCAGACTAAAATCTCAGCTCAGCCAGCCTTTTCATTACTCGCAGTTAAAGACACACTAGTCACAAAGTTCCACCAACACCTATGGATTTTGATGTTTGCTAGCTGCACGAACCATGCAATCGTCTGCTGCAATACGACCCTCCTGCCGGTGATACCCGTACTGAGAGTGACCCGAGAGCCAGCCGATGTGAGACAAGAAAATGCAAAGGCTTAAGAGTGGAGAGTTCTTATTCTGCCAATGCTTGGCTCCCGGCCTCAGTGGATGGCTAACGAGGGGCAATTCGGCGAATACGACTATGCAGGTTTTGACTGGCTGGGTTTCTGATGAAAGAAATGGATATGCAGTAGCTGGTTAGCTGCATCGCAAGGCCTTATTTGTTGGACCAGAATCATTCCGTCCTGTTCCACCTATTCTGTAATGGCTGCGGCGACTCATTCAATTCTAGTAGAAGAAGCCCTAAGAGAAAATGTTAAGACATCTTTCTACTCCAAGGTAAAATCCATCAGGTATTCCTTCTACGAGATCAGCCAGACTCTAAGGCCAGGGAAGGGCTGCATATACACCAGGATCCCTCCCGCGAGGCGGATATCATACGATATCTGACTTAGGGTTAGCAATTAACCGTGCGAAAACTGCATGAGTTCAGAACTAGGCTCTAAGTAATCGGGACAATGGACATAACTTACCCAAGTAGCTTGTCACACCACTCTATCCTGCATACCGTCTCAGTGGACCCCAGTACTAGCTGCATCGATGACGCTTTCGACCTCAGCACGGTTCAAGGCCGGTATACTATCGGGACCCATCTCCTCCAAAGCTGAAACAACGCGATCAATCAATATAAACGCGTGCGAATGACAAATATTCCTGTCTTTCTCTAGTTGCCAGATGTCTCTGCACGAGCGCAGTGCATCCTGCAATGTGGCACGCGCGGGCATGCCACCGTACCCGCTGCTCGGCGGCGGATCAAGCGGCGTGTCCGCTCGAAGCAGGTACACCGATAGCGTGAGGGCCGCAACGAGGAAGTCCGGCCAGAAGAGGCGGGCGAAAGATCGGCTGACCGGGGAGTTGTCCGCGGGAGCTCCCCAGAGGTCCCGTTGGTGGACGAGGATTGCGAGGGCGCAGTCTAAGGATGTCCAGTACGAGAGAGGATACCGGAGTGGAGCACGCTCATCGTGGGCAAAGGGACGGTGGACGGACAGGAGGAGCCGGCGGAATAGAACGTCGAGCACGATGGCTTGCCGGGCTTCGCCGGTCGTCGGGTGGGATTTTCGTAGTGTTTCTGATGCATGGACCAGCAAGTGTCTGGTCTCCGCTGTGTAGTGCATAATAGCCTCATAGGTTTCTGATCGAGTCGGGTCGTGGCTCAGGTCCATTAATTGAGCTGCGAGTGGGACGGCGCGTCCGAAAAGGACATGGAAGGTCTCTGACTCCTCCCCCAAATTCAGCCGCGGGAGAGCTCCGTTAGGACAGCCGTTGATGCTGGGAGGAGATGCGCAAGTGTAATCTCGCGGCCGGAGCAGGATTGGCATTCCCGTCAGAACCGACTGACGGAGGTTGAGATACATGATCGACGTCCAGAGAACGTTGAGCGTCTGTCGCTCAGCCTTTCCCAGCCTCGGGTCGTCCACTTGTACCGAGTGCAAACCCATGCTCATGGCAATGCGCAATATCAACCCCGTTAGGCACCACGAAGTATCCATCGCGGAGCAAGACATTTGCACCATCTGCTTCGCAACGACCATGAGACATAGAGTGCGAATGATGTCCAGATTCGGGTGTGCAACGAACGAGGTGCGATGGACAAATCCTTGCGATACTTCTAAGAACTCGGTTCGCGGTACGCTTAGGAGTAAGTCAGTCGAACCACAAGCGACGGTACGATGGGCTTCTTGGCCGAGGTAGAAAATGACAAAAAGCAGGGCTAGCCAGCCATCTTCAGCTTCCCTAGGGTGGTGCCAGAAGAGCAGCAACTGTTGCTTGAATACTGGCAGGTCCAGGAAATGGTGCGTCTTTTCAACAACGTCGATATACATAGAAATCAACTTCTCTCCAACCACACGAGTCGGCATGCGCTGTAGCAGTGCACTTTTCGATTCCACCTTCTTCAGTCCCCAAGGAAGATCCGACAATATATCGGGCCGATTATAATGACTCGAATGGCTGTGAGGAGCAAGTCCGGAACCATGTGCTGATAGAGAGTTTTCAACCTGATGAGCCGTCAGCAATGTCCGCTGGAGCCCATTTAAGGCTTAATTACAGGACACACCTCCCTGACTAGCGTTATCCAGTGAGTGTCTGTCCGGAACCGGCCACTCCACGCGGCAAAGCGAACGGCAGCACTCAAGTTGTCCGCAAAAGATTCTCCGTCAGAATCATGGTGAGGCCCGCTTGACCGGCCATATGCACAGACTGCTTTTGCCTTTGTGCACCTGTGACATGGCTGCTGTCGATCACATCGGACTTTCAATCGGCGACAACGGATACAAGACACGGGATTGCGATTGCGCTTGTGAGGTGTTAATTGTTGGTAGCTTAATGGGGAATGAAAGGACACATTTTCGTTGGATATGGAGCTGCCGGTGAGCTGTACAGCTGTGAGTGGACGGCAGCAGAAAATATCGGGCCAGACGTACTTCATCCCTGTTTCGCAGAGAATCATCCGGAGCCTCCGTCAGAATACTCGTGTCACCATTTGTAGATGCTCTATCGGTGTTGTTTCTCCCAGTGTGGCGTACCACGCAACTTACACCCGCCTTGACACACCGGCGGCATGCTGGTTTCGCCTTGTCACAGCCGACTTTCAACGTCCGGCATCGTTGACAAGCGCGAACCTCACGTCGATGGGCGGAGGTACCAGTTTCCATCCTGCTTATCTAGTTGAGAATTCAGGTTCATTGATGGAAATTGTGTTCGCAGGAATAGTAGGAAGAGGGTCGAGAGATCCTGATGATTTCGTCCGCTCAGCGAATCACAGGGAGATTCTGGTCGGCCGACCACCCCGACGCTTAACTCCGATCTCAACACGAACACGCACTCATCCAGATAATTTCTTCAACATAGAGCAGAAAGGGGGAAATTAACAGTTTTCCTCTGATCAACGGAGTTTGGGTCGGATTTGGTCGGCCGATGAACAAACTGAAGTCGTGGAAAATATATAATGATAGCCATCCGTCCTCTATCATGTCCGCATCCACGATCTCTTCCAAAAGCAACTATTTCCTCTTGTTTTCCAATATAGATCACTGAAACCCTTTACATGCATTGTCCAGATGGCGACCCAAGCATATCTCTCGTCTCCAAATGGCATGGTTGCTGTTGAACCGAAGTCGGAGGCAAATGCAAGTCCAGCTGCAAAGCCTTCGTTCCTTGAGGACATTAAAAGCGTACTGCCTTGTTAGCATGCACTTTTGTCCTGCAGGAACCGAAATATCTACCAGACCAGCGGATATATCAGGCGTTTTCTCAAGAACTGCTTCAATGTAACGAGTTCCCTCCCAGACTATGACCAGTAAATTCTGTTGCCCTAAGTCCGGCTACCCGGAATGGCAGAACGATCAACTCATCTAGATGTCTTCGACCGCCCGAAAGCCAATAATACTACCTGAATTGGGTCTATTTGATGCTGGTTCCGAGCTGATGCCTGTTTGACTATCATAACCCAGAATCCAGTGATGATAGTTGTGTCCGTCTTGGGCATACACGTGGGTCACACACAACCTTTGACCCTTGGGACCCTTGGGAATTAAAGTTTTCTGCAAAAGTAGCGGCAGCACAATAATTAGAAGGTGGCGCGAAATTATCTAAAGTTCAGGAGAAACATCTAGGTGAGATGTTAATGTTAGAAGGTTTATCATATTATTTCACTAACCACAGTGTTGAATATGTCCAGCTCAGACAGGGAACAGAGACAGTAAACTACAGTTGCAGAAAGTATCTGGCAAGACTCATGGTTAGTTAGTTGCTAGAACCATGATTGATGATCAGCATACCTCTTCTGAAGTGGCTATATATGCTGCAGCCTGTGGCTTAAAACAAAGCTCCGCTAGATACATTATATCAACACCTTAGTCTCTCTGAGCACTACCTCATACTTATGCAGGCATTGTCTATACTGGCAACCTCTACAGAGGACGTACCCAACCCTGACTGCAATAATCTTGACTGTCCATCATCTCCTGCTGTTTTCAGTAAAGGTTCATGAACTCCGCGGAAGTTGGACTGGACCAATTAGAATGCTAAATTACTTCCATGGTTCATCCCACTAATTTGGAATGATTATACAGAGCACGTTTCCCTACTAGGTAGGCTAAGTGAGCAGAATCATTGACTTTCGGCCTTGCCGCTCGAATATACGCCTCATGGAGAGTCTATTAGCGGGGATCTACCACATTTGCTTCGCTGGTACTAGAACAAAGAAGCAAAATATGACAACAACATAATTCAAGGCCCGAAAAGATGCAGGCCATTGTTGTGCAGCGTGTGCTTACTACTCCGTATGCTTCGTCCTCCCGTATGGAACAGTTGATCTATATCCTAACTATGCAGAATTTGGAATTGGTTTAGGGATCGGCTGACCCGCCGGGCGCTAAGCGGGCCGGATCCATGGCTCTGCGGGTCACCAGTAGACCTAAGACCCACTTTTGCGCCGTGTCATAGGCCTCATGGAATGTCTTCATTGCTTTGACTGTGCATGTGCACTGTAGCCGTGGATACCTTCCGGGGTCTGCCCATCATTCCGCTGCTGTAGATCATTGTCCGTTGAGTCTGCATTAGAATTATATCTATGATTTGCTATATTGTGCAGAAGATGGTCTGAGGAACTATGGGGATGAACATGAAACCATAGACGGAGTGCATTGTTGGGACACCTTTAGCCTACATATATACACCGTCAGGCTTACCACTGTGATCTAGAAATAGAACTAGCTGAATATTCATGTTAGAGTTCATTGAACTACGGGACCTAATACAGACTAATCTGGTTATTTGTTTAGGGTAGCATCGGTGATCACACTAAACAGACAGCCCATGACTACCTCGACAGCGTCCAATAGGGAATTGCTGTAATGGTACAAAAGCAAGAGATTTGTAGAAACCTGCCACAGCTTACACCATTAAACACAAGGGATAACCTCAAGTATGATATGACATTAGCAGGCACAGAAAGACTGTACACGCCTCTGCATTTGCATCACAGTATAGGGAAAACCTAACAGACCAGGGAGAAAAACCTATACCGAGGCCCGTCCAAAAACCGTTAACTACCAAATGCAGAACACACCAGACGCGGTAACGTAACCCCTGTCCCTCGCTATTTCCCACCAATCTTACATTTAGAGACTGATTATCTTGACATCATCGTTATAATCTCCATCGAAAAGCACTTTAAGATCCACGTGCAGCCACACTTCATTGCCATTCTTAAGGTAGAACCGGAGTTCGCCCTTGACTGCAATCAGGTTAACTTTGAGGGTAATCCCGTCCTGGAGGTTTCCAGTCAGAGTGCCAATGTTGATGCCAATCACAGCGACCGAAATCGACGCTTCGTATGTGCTAGTGTCAACATAGCCAGAGACCTAATTGGCGGAAGAAGTCAGACACTTGCTATTGCAGAGTAGAAATCAAAGGCTGTAACCATACTGTGACGACTCCAAAAAAGCTGAGCGGCCCAAAGCCGACACGAACGTCAGGTTTGGATGCAACTTGGAGGGCAGACGAAACAGCTTCTGCATCGCTTATCTGTGTGGCGGAGAAGATACCAGCTGTTGGTTGGTTGAGTTTTACAATTGCTCCTGAAGGTTTGATGAATGTGAGTGTCTGAACGTATTGAAGGTAGCATTCGAATTACCTTCAAGGTAGTTAGCCATTTTGGTTGTTGCTTTTTTATCGTAGAAGGTCACTCAAAAGTAAGGTTCTGTCCGCTTGAATCGTCTACATTGTAGCAATCAGAGCCGCCAACCTGCATGCCTTTATATCTTGGGTATACCTGGAGGATGGTTATTAGACAGTTCATGATACCAGGGTAGTTGAGTATACTCTGCTGCATTCCCATATAGCTTTCCATGACGCAAACCAAATCAGGTGCACGGCGCACGGCGCACGGCGCGCGGCGCAGGTCGTAGGGCACGAAGGTCAGGTTAGAGGGTTCCAAACTGCAAGCGTCTTTTGAGAGAGAGAGTCCTACTCATGTCTCTTTCCTTGAGCGGACATATTCGGTGTGCTCGACCTTCGACGCTAGGAGGAAACATGGGCAGTCCATACCGGTGGTTGCTAACGTCTATGCATGTTCCATGAATGCGCCTAGAACTGGCGGATACGGTAAATAGGGTTGGCTGCGGAGTACTCCGAAGCTCCTTGCATAATATGAAGAGCTGCCAAGTCCCCCACAGCATGCGTCAATAGCACCTGCCACTGCGGATCCCAGTAACGCTGGTTGTGTTTATCCACCAGGTCTGAGGTTCGTCCCCGAGTTCGTTTCCTGAAGGTAATGTCGGATGCAGTTGCACTAGAGGACATCTATGTGAGACATGTCTTGCTGTGGAGCGGATAAAATGCTTCGTATTCCTTGTCCATGTTCCCAAACCGGCTAACACCTCCCAACGGTGAAGCTGGGAACAGTAACTCAAGCTGTGAGGTGACAACCTGAAGGTATGTTTTTCATAAGCTTCTTCATATCTCCTTTAGTCCCCCTAGGTCAACCATGCTTTGGCACAGGGCCCGCCTTCTCATTCGCACTCGGAGGGGGGGGGGAGGTAATGGGGCAGGAAGCGGATGCTGGTCACATATGGACCTATGGGTAGTTGTCAAACGTCACGTAGTTGTCATGTTCGAAGCCGAATCGAGCTTCTAGACTCATTTCCACAGTGTCTGTCTGCGGATATGGCATATAGGGTGGCATACACAGTGAGGTCGTCTGCGTTACGTGCCAGTTGACAGGCTTGAAAGATGTAGCTGAGGTTGTCAATGCCAATACTTGCTGCTTTCAGTGGGTAGTCGATACAAGAAAGGAAAGTACATCATGTTTGTGACATTATTCCAACAATAGAAGCCAGGCCTATTGGACTTTTCTGCACTAATGGTTCTCAAGCAGCGCTTTGTTCACGGCTAGGTAAATGTACTACATCATAGTTCTGGAGAAGAGTCCCACAGAGGACCATGAATGGCAGGAGCAGTGCTCCAGTCGGTGCTCCCTAGTTGAGTACCATGCTATGTAAGACTATGAGGAGGATCCCGCATATGTCACAGCAGCTTAAGAACAGATCCTATTTAAACAAGTTGGAGTGATGCACTGAATTTGCGGCGGTACATCTCCGGTCTTCAAGTCTCAGGATTCTCATCCCGAATAAGCTATTTTATGGAACATGTGCTCTTTCTATCCAACCCAATTGGAGTTGGAGACGATTCATTGTATCCCTGAATCGGTCGGTCTTAATCTATCGGGGCTTTGCGTTCCTCATACATTTGCGAACTCAATGGACATACCTCAGTACCCTTTGCAAAATAGCAAAGGAAATACTTCTGGCTCCGTATCTCTCTTTCCAGACGACATTGAATATGGATATTCTAACAATCCATTCCAATTCCCAACATTGAAAGATCTGCAGCTCGCATATGGCCATGACGTTATGGGAGCACAACATGTCCCCGACCCCAAGGCCAACAACTATATCACCGATGGCGAGTCATCTGGTCAATGTATTCGCAGGGGGCCCAAGAGGGACTTCGACGTGGGATCTTCTACCGAGACTGCAAGCTGCGGTAATGCAAGATTGCAAAGGGATTCATCTCATGACAAACGTATTACAAAGCGGTGAGCTAGAGCCTATCTTTCCAACATCACACCTGTTCTAGCTAAGTTCTTAAGCGTTGGACGGGGAAATCAAGCTGTCCAGCTGCGATGTAAATGGGAAGGGTGCGAATATACTGGCACCTTTGGCCGAGAGAGCGACCTGTTACGGCACTTGAAGGCAGTCCATATCTGCAAGGACTCCTACTGCTGTCCGGTGGACGGTTGCCAGAAGGTATCTAACAGATGTGACAATATGAAGGAACATATCCGCAGAGTCCATCAAAGAAGTCTTGGTCATGAATGGTAAGAATGGTTGGAATGGTCTTATTGCATGCGAGCTGTTGATGGTGGCACTTAATCTTTATAATAGGCAGCTAGTAGGACAAAGATGTATACAGAACCACACAAAAAAAAAGCCACAAAATATGTTCCGGAAATCCTACAGATACTACCTTTTCTTAGCAATTCTAAATAAGGTTTCAAACTAACCTTGAATGGTAGAGTAGGAGACGACTGTTAAGGTAGCAGCAATGGTATGCCCGGTCCATATTTTCATACTTTGAGTGGATAAGTGTCTCAATTGATCCAGTAAGGAGCCTAACTAAATGATCAATCTCAATTTACCCTCGGACAGCCGGGGCTCAACAGGCTCAAATTGCTTCCTAGGACCACGCCGTGTGCCGGGGAGGACCAGCTTGACAGGGTGTTTGCGCCTGGAGGTAATCAGGCCCGCGGCCATGCTACCCTGTAGAGGCGAGGAGAGACTCGGTTGGCCCTAATTCTCTGAACCTTGTGGTATCAGTGTTAAATTCACTCATAGTTTGAATCTTTGAGTTGTGTGATCTGCTAACAGAGGGGATTCTCACTGCTCACCGCATTATCCAAGGAGCTTACAGTTCCTTCCAGTCACACAAAATCCATCTTTCCCTGAAGATTCATCTGACCGTCAATTCACCAGTGTTCTCTCTAAGTTAGTTACCTGTCTAGCACGCAATTCCCAATATGAGCTCCGGAGCCCGTTAGTCAACGTTCAATAATCTTTACAAGAGGTAGACTAACCTAAGATGCAGGCTGTCCAGTTGCGGCTGTCAACAACAGCAATCACCTGAGGGTGTATACTCAGGATCCAAGCGGCGGGATTCGCTAGAGTCCATATGAAAATGGATGATACCCTGGCAGGATAATGGCCAACCGCAAGTCGGGTCTCCCCTCGCTGCTACATCCCTGGCGCTTGACAGTGTGAGATGCCTGCCATTCAGTTGCGTAAAACCTAATGTCTCTAATAGATCCATCTCCAACAACAACACCCTGCAGGAGGCAGTTCACGACACTACCTCGGCTGGTACACGGGTGGATTCAACAACTACAACTTCCAAGTCGCAACCAACAGCACCGTGGGAGCCCACCCAAGTTCTCCGAGTCTATGCCCGGTCGCCCGATAATTCAATCCAAGAATACGGATAGAATGGTAAACATTACCAAGGTAATGCAAGAGTTCCCTCGATAATGTTGTTCTCTCTATCCAGAAAATTCAAAAGAATGGCAGACTCTCTCTAACCTGGGCGCGGCACTCCCTGGAGCAGCCATAGGCGTAACGTCCTTCGCGCAACATAACCAGGCTATAAGGCTGGTGCATCCAATTCTAGCTGCATGGTTTAGCAAGACCGCTGATAAAGTCGCCCAGAGTGTACTTCCAAGACCCTCAAAACAATCGTATTGAGATTGCCTACGATTCCGATTCGGGCTGGAAACCTGGCAGCTTTTCAGTCCCCAACGCCAGCCCTGGAACCGCTCTCGCCGTTACCACTACCGAAAATGGCAGTATTCATGTTACTACGGCGGTTCTAATGATAGTATCCTGGAGAAAGTCCATGATTCTAACTCAGATTGGTATGACGGCGCCTTCTCCCAGTCGGGCATGCCTGGAAGCCAGGTTGCCGCCATAATTTGGGGCACTGGCAGCGGATTGAATATCCGCGTGTCTTTCCAGCAGCCACAATCCGTGCCCGGGGTGTCGGAGTATCAGTATGTGAATGCAACTGGTCGGCTGACAGATACCTATTTCACCTGCATAAGCCTGGATGGACCAAAGTATATGGAAAGTTTTGGTTATTCACAGAATGTTGCCTGTGCTTTATGTCATTTACTCTCTTTTCAATGCAATTGTTCTTAGAGTTCTTATCCGGAGGAGCGAACGATCGGACGCTGAGGAGTACACAGCTCAAGTGCTGGGGAAGCCGGCCCCATAAAAGGGAGTACAACCTAGGCATGAGACTTAGGACCCGGCCTGTGGAACCCGCCCCAGTCAGGCCTAGACCCACCAAGCTTTGGGCTAGGTTGGGTTTCGGCATAGCCTAAGAGTGGGAACTCCCAGGCCTGAGCCCAACCTTGTCATAATTATTCTTCTTCTTCCGAATAGGCAAGTCTTTCCGCCTGCAAAGGGAAACTCTCTCCATATTCTTTGCTCCAGTTTTCCGCTCCACCTTCACTCTTCCAGCAGCACATCATCGTTGTCAATCATCAGCATCTGTCTGGCCAGTAAAATGATCCTTCTCAGATCAATCTACCTCCGGAGATACTTGCCTGGTCTCAAATTACCCCTCACAATCAGTCTGCGATGAAAAATCGAGAAGATGGAGCCCTCAGTCGTTGCCTGTCTATAAAGCTGTTCGAATTTCTTGATGAACCGACTCCCTCGAGATGAGCAAAGCTTTGAAGTCTTCTTTTCAACATTATAGGAAATACCTAGCGAATTATCTTTGCCGCCGAAACTCATTGTTCAATTTCCAATACAGACCAGCAGAATGGCAGTACAGAAGCTTAAGGTAGGCATGGCTGGCTTAGGTCGAGTGGGCAAGCTCCATGCGATCAACTTCTTGCACCGCACTCCCCGTGCTGAATTGGTGGCTGCATTTTCGCCTGACCCGGCAGAGATCGCCTGGGGAAGACAGAATCTTGAGCCGTACGGTGTCACTCTCTATGACAATTACGATAAGATGCTTGAGCATCCAGGACTGATGGCCGTCGCTATCGGTACTGCAACCCCTGTCCATGCGGAAGAAACGATCAAAGCTATCGATCGCGACTTGCATGTCCTCTGTGAGAAACCGCTGTCTACTGATGTTGAAGTGGTAAGGTCTACATCCCCTGCACACCGTACCATATACTGACTGGAATCTTGACTTCAGTGCAAGTCTGTCGTAAACAAAGCCAGAACCAAGCCACACCTCAAGGTCATGTGCGGCTTCTCTCGACGATTTGACGAGTCCTACCGTGACGTATACGACAAGATCAGCCAGGGGCTCATCGGAAGACCTTCAGTCCTTCGGAGCCAGACCTGCGATAAGTATGATCCTTCTGGATTTTATGTCGCATACTCTGCGTGGTCGGGAGGCGTCTTCGTGGACATGTCCGTGCACGACATCGACCTTACTCTGTGGTTCTTCGGTGATGATGTGGTCCCCAAGACGATCTCTGCATATGGCATAACCGCTGTGCAACCGGAGCTGAAGAAGTTCAACGACTATGACAATGCTGTTGGAATTGTTGAATTCCACAACGGCAAGATTGCATACTACTATTGCTCTCGCATGATGGCGCATGGCCAAGAAGACACCACAGAAGTCATCGGCACCGAGGGCAAGTTGTCTGTCAACTCCAACCCGCAGCGGAACCTGGTGAACTTCTACCATTCGGGAGGTATTACTCGTGAGGCTCCCTCTAATTTCATAGGTCGCTTCGGACCTGCGTTCGTGACGGAGGCCAATGAATTTACCGCCGCATGCTTGGATAACACGCCACTCCCGATGAAGCTGAGCAACGCCGTCAAAGCCGTAGAGATTGGCGCATATCTCCAGGAGGCTCTGGTTACAGGCAAGCAGATTCACTTTGATGAGATTGGAAGGCGGGTGGAGAGAGCCCAGATTTGAATTGTCCTCGGACTGAGAACATCTACTTGATCGCAATTTGATCTTGATAGTCTTGAGCTTGCCAATCGAGCACATCCTCAAACACTTGTCTATAAATGACTCTCCTCCATAGCTTCCTCCGCTCGAATGCGTTGTCTATCTCTTTCTCCGTACCATATCCGTAACTCCACATCTGTCTCGCTGGATAGCTCCATTGGTAAAGGCCGTGAGGGAAAGAACGCCAAGCTGATGGTTGACGCTCTTTAATTTAATTGTTCTGAGGATATGGATCCAGGTAGATGTCCATATTTCGAACATTGGGATTTCTAGGAATAGAGCTGTTTTTGCTTGAGCTTACTCGTCCAGGCGCATACGATGGCTTTCCCCGCATTATCTATCCCCAGTCCCCACCAGTGCGTTCCTGTAATCTGACCTTCCTTCACTCTTCTGCTGCCCACCTATTTTTATCGACTAGGAAATTCTTTCATTATTTTGAAGCAATCGTATTGTATATGTTCTGGTAATAGTGGCTCAGCGAGCCCATGCCCTCAGTGAGTTGTGGTTGTGGAAAACAACAGACGGCCTACACCAATGACGAAATCAATGGCTGAAAGATCGACATTCCTGCACTGAGGGATACGCAATCTATTAGCAAGCCGATTGTATCCACAGCTAGCCTTGACCTACTGTATCCTCATACCGATATATTCTGGATTCCCTACCTGCTTGCAATACTTCAACCCTGATAACTCCACGCAGCAAGACATCGTCTACGGGATGCATCTCTATGGTATCACATCTTGGCTACTCACCTCGCTCTGTACCCTTGTGGCTCCGCTCTATACAGGCACAGGCCAACGGGGACGCGTCATTCACCAGCCAGCCCTACCTCCCTCATACCCGCTGGCAGTAAGAAATCCATATCTGTCAGCATGGATGCCCAGCGATCGGGTACAGATGCTACCATATGCCGAGCCGCAGTTCTGGGCCGGCCAGGACCTTGGCTGGTCCATCATGGTGCGTGTTGATGATCAGACGTATAGTTTGATGGGCGTGAAGGACCCTGGGAAAGACGTCCAGCCGGCTGTTGTGCATGGCGCGGAGTATACGGCGACTCATTCGGTGTTTACTGCTAGTGCTGGAACGGTGATGGTCACGCTTGATTTCTTCTCGCCGGTGTCGCCTGCGAATTATCTGCGGCAGTCGCTTCCTTTTAGTGGGTGTGTGTTGTGCGATTGTTGACGAGGAGCTAATGTTTTGCCATAGGTTATCTGACAGTGTCTGTTTCTGGAACTTCTGGGAATAGCGTACAGGTATTCTCGAGTATTGATGGGAGATGGACGGGTGAATCTGGAGGGGCTGTCTGCGAGTTTAGTAATGCAGGATCTACTGCGATGTTTTCATTGAAGGTCGAGGATGCTACGCTGTACGCTGAGAGTAGTGATATGGCTACGTGGGGAGAAGCTATACTTGCATCGCGACCAACAGCTTCTTCAAAGCTTTCCTTTGCATCGGGAAATAGAGCCCTAGTAATGTCACAGTTCGCCAAAAGTGGCAGGCTGGCTGCAGGCCGCCAGCAGTGCAAGTCTGGCGACATCGTGGCACTCTCTCATGAACTTGGAGTTGTGACGGGTGAAAAGGAAGTCACTTTTGCCATTGGATATGTGCGGGAAAAGGCGATCAACTATCTTGGAAAGGCATACACGGGTTATTATAGGGCAGAGTATCCCGATACATACAAAGCAGTCTCATACTTTTTGGATGACTATTCAGATGCCCTCAGTGAGTCCCAAATACTCGACCGAAAACTGTCTACCACAGCAGAATCGGTCGCGGGACAAAAATATGCGGACATCGTCACAGTGTCGACTCGGCAAGCGTACGGGGGAATTGATCTGACAATTCCAAATGATACTCTCGACACCAGCGAGGCGTTAGCCTTCATCAAGGAGCTCTCCAGCGATGGCAATGTTAACACGGTGGATGTCATCATGCCTGCCTTTCCCATATACTGGGTTATGGATCCGGATTATATCCGACTCCTGTTAGAGCCGATGATGAAGTATCTCGCAGCAGGGCGCTGGCACAAACCGTATGTGATCCACGATATGGGCAGCCATTATCCCAACGCCGTCGGACATGATGATCAACAAGCGGAACCGATGCCCATCGAGGAGTGCGGCAACCTCATGGTTCTTATTCTGGCATATGTGCGCGCAACTGGCGATGAGGCATGGGCAGCCCAGTATTTCGACATCCTCAAAGGATATGCCGACTATCTGGTGGAAAATGGCATCGACATCGCTGAGCAGCTGTCGTCAAATGATGCTGCTGGTCCGCTGGCCAATGAAACTAACCTCGCCATCAAAGCAGCGGTTGGTCTCAAGGCATTCGGAGAACTTACAGGATTGACCGAATATTCTAACATTGCAGACTCACGAGCCGACCTACTCTTCGCTCAAGGGCTGGGGACAGATGGGCAAAAGACTCATTTCGTGCTGCAGTATCCTGACAAGCCATCCTCGTGGAAGATACCTTATAACCTCTATCCAGATGTGTTGCTGGGCCTTGGAACTTTCCCCAAGGAAGTTCACCAGATGAGCAGTGCATTCTTCAAGTCAGTAAGAGGTGAATACGGTGTCCCTCTAGACAGCCGGCAAGACTGGGCCAAGTCGGACTGGAACATGTGGCTAGCAGGCACACTTGACAGCAGCACTTGCAGCGAATTTGTCGATGACCTGTGGGCGTTCATGACCAGTGGCAAGCATAATTGGCCATTCTCAGATAGATATATCGCGACCTCAGCGGAAGGTAACACGCCCGGTGTTCCAGTGCTGTGTCGAGCGCGTCCAACAGTTGGTGGGCATTTTGCCTTGCTAGCGCTACAGGGACCCGGATCTCTTCGAGTCAGGCTACCAAAGCAGGAGGAAAGCTCCAGCCTGGGAGAGCAAGGCAGCCAGCAGGTTCTGGGCGAAGAAAGGCAAGAGCTCTGATGTTGAGCTGACTAGGCGTTGCATGTGTGCTCTTAACATAGAGATGTGGCCATCCATTACGTAGCGCCAGATAACTTCATCTATTTCTCTTTTCCCTCTGCTTTTCTTTCTTGACAATACATCCAAAACATCCTGAAACCAGGTGCAGTGAATGGATTGAGCCGCAGGAAAAGGCGGAGGTAGAATGGCTGAATAGGACACCCAGCCACCAGAACAGAAACACAGCGAGAAAGAAACAAACCACTTGTCTCCATCACCCTGTCTTCAATCTCCTGAAGAGACTAGATCAATAATCCGTGCAGTAGCAGCGTAACACCGTCTTTATATGTGGACCAACTGCTGAATCCCTTGCGGCAGCACTGGCCCCTGCGGTGGCCGCTTACATAAGCTGGTGACGGCGGGCTTTCTTTTCGGGGCGAAACCAACGAGCAACAGGAACAGACTCAACTTGCCCAACTCCAGCATCCCTAAACGAACCACCGGCCTGCTTTTTTTCTCTTCCTCCTCCTTCATCTCCGCTTCCTCCTTGTCGAGCATCGTTGATCCTTTTCTTCGTGCTTTCATTTGATTCCCACTCATGGCTTCTGTAAGTTGTCCCGACCTCCCCACGCCGTGCTTGTCTCCCCCCCCCCCCGTCTTGCTTTCCCTGCGTAGCTTATCCAGTTCTCACTGCGAGAGCTACGCGTTCAGTAGAGCGCTCGCATGCAGTCGCTGTTGGGATCTGAAGCTAACAAGTTTATCTTACTGTTTTTCTAGCCCCGTCCTCCTCACAACTTTGCTTCCCAAGGCTATTCTCTACCGAACGGTGCTGCGGCTGCCACTGGTCCTGTGCCTGGCGCCGCCCCTCTTCTTCCCAACAATGGCCGGGTGATTCAAAACGGCCCCGTCAGAGTGTTGTGTATCGCAGATGTCAGAGGTAGGTCGCATGAAGGAGCTACAGCTTCGGTTGCAGACAACGTCGCTGAAGATCCGGCACTGACATACATCTTGCGCAGGAAATCTGAAATCTTTGAATGAGCTGGCCAAGCAGGCCCGTGCTGATCATATCATTCACACCGGTGACTTTGGCTTCTACGATGATACCTCTCTTGAGCGGATTGCAGACAAGTGAGTTGGACTCTACGTTTTGTTCGCGACTGTTCGATGTCAGCCATAATCCTGACTTGTTACGAAAACGCGCTATAGGACTCTCAAGCATGTGGCACAATACTCTCCATTGCTGCCCGAAAGTGTGAAGCGCACGATCGCCCAGACTCCCCCTCAGCAGTCTATTAAGCAACGATTCACCCCCGATCAACTCCCCCTTTCCGAACTTCCAATGCTGCTTGACAAGCGGCTCACACTCGATGTTCCCGTATACACCGTTTGGGGTGCATGTGAGGATGTCCGGGTGCTGGAGAAATTCCGCTCCGGGGAGTACAAGGTCAACAATCTGCACATCATTGACGAGGCTAACTCGCGGTTGCTTGATATCGGAGGTGTGAAGCTTCGTCTGCTTGGTCTGGGAGGTGCGGTTGTCATGCACAAGCTGTTTGACAATGGCGAGGGCAAGACCACAATTGCTGGTGGACAAGGCACCATGTGGACCACTCTGCTTCAAATGGGTGAGCTGATCGACACAGCCAACCGCGTATACGACCCGTCGGAGACCCGCATTTTCGTCACTCACGCCTCGCCCGCTCGAGAGGGGATGCTGAACCAGCTGTCCGTGACCCTCAAGGCCGACTTCTCCATCTCAGCTGGTCTCCATTTCCGCTATGGTTCTTCCTACAACGAGTTCTCCGTCAATCCCTCTCTGGACCACTACCGCGGTAAACTCGCCGCCTCCAAGGCCTCTTTCAACGATGTTTGGGAGACCGTCCGCGGTGAAGTGGAAGCCGCTATCTCCTCTAACGAAGCTCAGAAGACTCTCTTGGACAACGCTCTCGACGTCGTTCAGAGAATGCCTACTGTCGCCAACGGTGGAAATCCATTCGGTGGCCCCACTGCGCCAGGCAACGCCGCCGGGCAAGTCGATGAGAGCGCCTT